GGATCAGTTTCCAGGTGTTGCGTTCGTGCAGTGCTGCTAATTCCCTGTCGATTGCCTCCCTCCATTTCTTCCTGTGTGGCCCTTGCAGCGCGCGTTTGACAGTCTTCTGATTCTCGATTGGCAGCGGCGACGGAGGATGCACGGCTGCTACCAGTCCAAGGATTTGCAGCCCAGTCTTGGTGTAGCGGAGAAGGGTTGGATCCTCGGGATAAGCTGCTTCGTCGCCTACTCGGTGTGAAACATTTGTGTCAACGCTGTGGGGTGTTACGTAACCATTGTCGGCGAAGTGGTAGTAGGCTTCAGCATTCGCACTTGCGCGAGGGTTGTCGTCGTTCATCTGCATGTCGATGGAGCACAAGGGAAGTGGTCATGTGGCTGCTGACGCGTTGGGGACGTTCTGTTCCTCCAGGTCAGCTTCTTCGGTCGAAGCGAACGCGTGTGCTCCAACGAAGCCACTGGATGGGTCCTAATTGGCTGCGATGTCGTCTAGGTAATGGTTGAGCATGAGGTTCTTGTAGAAAATTACGTCACGTGCCGGTACTGTTTCTTTATCATCCACGTCGAAGATTTTCCAGGCCTTGTAATGTTTTTCCACGCTGAGGTGTAGACCCCATCTTGCCCGTTGCGACAATCGTCCAGTTCGTGCAGTGTGCGGACAGTACTGTACCATGTAGCCGAACACTCGTAACATTTTTGTGCTGCCCTGCTTCACTGTCCACAGCAGATGCGGTGATACGTTGTTTGGCAGGGAGCTTGATGACTGAAGATTCTGCAACATGACGGTGGGATTCATCGCCTCTGGCCACTGCGAGTTGGGTGGTCTCATCCCAGTCAGCAGCTTTCGCATGGTGTTCTGGAGCGCCCGCTTCATCCTCTCTACTACATCGTTCTGTTGGGGTAGTCCCTGAATCGCTGTGACTGGTAATCCATCGCCCCGTCTGACAGAAAACATTTCATCTTCGTATCTCCCTCTCGTTCTGTTGCAGCAAGCCATGCAACAAAGGTAAGGTCGCGTAACGGTAGGTTAAGATGCCAAGTGTATCTTGTCGCGGCATCGACAAAGGTAATTACGTTGTTGAGGTCGGCCCGGCCGACTTCTCGCGGGATGTATAGGATATCACTGTAGACTTTCTTAAGGGGAGTGTACTCTGGTGCGCTGGGCTTGTGATGCAACGGGAATGGTTGTCGAGGAAGATCTGCTTCCGGGTAGATGAAGCAGGTACGGCGTGGTCGTCAAAGTTCACGTCCATCGAGTAGTAGAAGCGCATTTTTGTCCAGGATATTCGCGCGGATTGTGTCGAATAGTCTTGAATTTCCTGAATGCCCTAACCATTGATGCCATGTTTCTTCGCTTGCTTTGTGTCCCACAGATCGGCGATATAGGTTCGAGTTGGTGTAGAACACGGAGACGGTCGCAACGCTTCGATGCTGCTCGCAAGGGTGTGCCTTCGTCTGCCCAGGGTCGGTCGGTGGTGGCTCCTAAACGGGTTCCTGTTCAAATGGAGCTTCTTCAATAGGTGGTGGCGATGAAGGTCCAACGATGGGACTTCCAGGAAGTTGTCTTGTCGGCGCTTGCGGTTCTGCTTCGTGCTCCTATGTTTCTCGTTCCTCTGCTTCTCATTTCTCTGCTTCTCGTTCCTCTGCTTCTTGCATCACTGCTAATGCTCGGGTACTCTCTACTTCAGGTATGGTGTTGGAGTACCAGAAGCCATCGCGGTCGAACCCGGGATCGAGATTCGGTGGATGCGTCCAAGGTGCGAAGGAGACGACGCGGTCTAGAACGAAGTCCAAGATGAATACGCCGTGTTTATGGATGGCTCTGCCGATAAAAATTCTGCCCTTCTCGTGGTAGAGTCGGAACTCTCGGTCGAAGCTCCCACACTCCAAGTGAATTCCTTTCGACATCAGCTGGCTGATGCTTAAGAGGTTGTAGCCGAGGTTGTCGACGACGAGTACTCGTGACATTTGTAGTATCACGTTCGTCTTGCTGGATTGTAACTGAACACCTCCTTCCTTCCTTACTTGTGCGCAAAATCTGGTTGTTGGCGACGGTGATGATGACTTCGCGGCTTCGAGTCTTCTCTCGCTGGAAGAAGCGCGCCGAAGAACACATGTGCTGTCCACATTAGCTATCAAGGAACCAGATGTCGCGACCAGATGGTTCGTCACGAGCGATTGCAGTGTAAGTCGGGTTCGGTTGGAGCCGGGTTTGTGTTGGAGCGAGTTGTTGTTCGTCGACGGGACTGTGAAGCGGAGATTCGGGTACACAGAAATTTGTTTGAGCAATACAACTGACGACGTTCCTTGCGTCTTGTGCAGAGCGATTCGTCGAAGCTGTTGGGCGCTGCTGAGTTGAAGCGACTGGATTCGGTGATGGACATGGCGTTCGGGGTTGATAGTGCAAGAACTGCGGCTGCTGCTGCTTCTGCTCCTGCTGCTGCCTCGGATAGTTGAAGCGCGAGTGTCCCATCGTGCGGCACCGATGACAATACAGAGGTGAGTGTCGTTTTTGGTGATTGTGGTTGTGGTTGTTGTTGCATCCGTGCGTGTAGAACACTAGTTGCTGACTCGGTTTCTTCACATGTCTTTCCTCGTACAGGTCCATGTCGGCGTGGAGCTCCGCGCACAAGTGCATTTAAAAAATTCGTCCGTGAGCGCGTAGAAGAGAGCGCGTCGTGCGCCACTATGGACAGAGGCTGGCGAGGACGACCGTGACGAAAGAGTCTTTCGATAAGTGCCCTCCACTTCGTAAGAGTTTGTCGCGTAAGCCTCTGTAGCGATTGATATAAGGCATTGCCTTTCTCCTGCTTGCAACTGGATTGTCGTGAGTTGAGCCATTAGCCGACTTTGTGTCACGCTGTCGGTTGCTTGACATACGCTCTTCAGATGGCAGTATGCCAATTATGACGAGTTGCCGAAGTTGCGATATGCCCGAATGCTCTGCTGCTCTGTTGCTGTCAGGTTGCGCAGGAGGATGGTGAAGGCCATCAGCGATTGATAAGTATAGACTTTCTTTTCCTGAGTAGTCCCATTTACAGGAAAGGGCCAGGAGCCAGTGAAAAACCTGAGGATCTGCGCGCTGCCCATCAACAACTCGAAATCGAAGCTCCTGGTGAAGAAGTCCTTCCCGTTGAAAGGTGAGGACGTCTGCAATTTCAGGATGTTGTTAAACTACTGTTGCATGGTGACGATGTCTGGTTGCTCGTCAGCCGTCGTTGAGTCCACTGCCGGCACAGGAGTCGGCAAGAAGGTGAATGAGCCTTGTGAAGGCTGGTACGGTTGATGCTGCGTAGGTGGTATGCCTCTTGCATATGACGTGCCGTCGAGACTCATGGGGGCTATCCCACTGTTGTTGTTGCTGTGTGCAGATTGAACAGGTGTCGAGGGCTGCTCGTAGGTCGACATGAAGGAGAAGGATTTCTCCATCACATTCGGGTCCATGCCTATGGAAGAGGCCACTAGGTGCGTGAAAGCTCCTGCAGCTGCAACTGCCTCAGTCTGGAGTCCAGAAACTGGGGGTGCAGAAGGGGATTCCATTGAGGATCCGTCGCCCTTAGATGGCGCCATGTCTTGTTATGTCGAGTTGATAACTGAAGTTGTTGTACTTGATTCTTCAAAGTTGTTAAAAACTCACTGAGGGAGTTTGTAACAGAAGTGTAGCTTCTGATTAGCTCTCATACCGTGTTGGGCTGACAATGGCCCTAGGATCCTTTCAAGATGCTAAGTCCTTGTAACAAAGTGCTTGATAGCACAGCGGAAGTCTTGAGTTGAGCCCTTGTTCTGGTACAGTATATGAGAACAAGTGATTGATTACAGCAAAGGGATACAAGGCTTATATAATAATACAAGAGGATATGAAGAGTTTAACTGCTTGTGCTCTTCGAAGGGTGCATTCCCTTTTACGACTCGATAAGGCGACACGGGTAACCATCCGTACTGTAATATCGGGGCGGTTATTTGTCCTTGCTGTTGCGCTAACTCTAGACTCTTGTGATTCTGACTGTTGAGTTGCACGGCCAACGGTCTGCGACCATTGCCCTTTCGTAACCTCTGTGAGGTGTCGTCAACCTGTGTGAATCGTCAGGGGTACTGTAGCAGTGTTGACTCGGTAATCCTTGCTGTTGTAGTCTTCGCGTATTTCGTACACTCATGTGAGACTCCGGAAATGCCTCAAGTCCTTTTATAATTTCCAACAGCATTAATGGTGAAGGCATGTGTGGTGAAGGCCTGGAGGGACGTGGGCAGAGGGAAGCATCGGGCGTTTGGGGGGTTCCAGCAGCTGCCACAGTCACTGCTGGAGAGGCAGAACGTGATTGAGATGCATGCAGGGCCTTGGGTGAAGGCAGGGAGTGATGGAGGTGGTGTATGGTGGAGCTGAAGGTGATGTTGCAGGCGCTGCTGGCCAGGCAGATGTGATTGACCAGCAGGGTATTCGGTGAAGGCAGGGAGTGTGGTGGAGGGTGTGGTGGCGTTGTGGGGTGGAGAGATGGGGTGGTGACTTGGGCTGCGTGGGCAGTTTGAGGGAGGTCGTTTTGGATGGGTGTTGAAGACTGCAGCAGCTGTTGCAATTGCCGCTGGCCAGGCAGAACGTGATTGACCTGCAGGGCATTCGGTGAAGGCAGGGATGTGGTGAAGGGTGTGTGGATGAGGGCATAGGAATGTGGAGGGATGGGGAGATGGAGCCAGTGGGTATTTTGGGTAAAGGGAAGTTAGCTTGTGTACATATGCGAGTTCTAGAATATTAGGTCTCTTTAGTTGCATCTCGCTTTTGTTTGAGCACTCATTGATGCAGGGTTTACGTGAAAACGTGCACTGTATTATGTTGAAGCGTTTTTGTGCTAATCTCTGACTACTGTTTGGAGGATGTGTGAAATGAGAACACGTCTCACCAATACAGCTTCCGTAACAATATCGGGAAACGCAATCCACATACCGAGTACCTTTGTCCTCTACTCTGACCAGTTATCCTCCCATACACCACCCCACCCCTCGTCTCAGTAAAACGCTCAGAACTCCGCGTCAGTCCAGCAATCCCCCGTCAGTCCCGCCATCATGGTTACCGCCACAGCCATTGCTCCCGCTCCCGCCCTCCGCATCCCCGTCAGCGCCTCTCTTTCCCCGCAATGGCGCGCTTCTTCCCCCAGCGCTGGCATCCCCGCTGCTAGCAGCCGTCGTCGCACCGCCGCCCTCGTAAGCACCAGTGGTCGCAATTCGCCGCTTCAAAAGGTTCTCTCCGCAGATGCCGCCGCCGGTGTCACTGGAGGCAGGAATAATCGCCGGAACGCGCCGCGAGTAACGGCCAACGCGAGGCCCCGTTCCGTCGTCGCGGCAGCGGCGGAAGCGGCGGGACTTCCGGCGAGCTTACCAGAGGCGCTGCTGTTCGACTGCGATGGCGTGCTGGTGGACACTGAGAGGGACGGGCATCGCGTGTCGTTCAACCAGGCGTTTGAGGAGGTGAGACGGGAAGGGAGGAAGGGTGGATGCATGGATAGTGCGGCATCAGAAAGCAGCCTCCAGCTCACCAGAGGCGCTGCTGTTTGAGTGTGATGTCGGGCTACGGAGAGGGACGGCCATCGAGTCTCCTTCAAACAAGCATTTGCGGAGGTGGGGCAATTGGAACAGGGGGGAACTGCGGGGGGGGGGGGGGGGGAGGGACGGATGGGAATATTTCTGGCTTGGTCGACGCGACAGCGATGGAGTGTGGTGGAGTCTGAGAGGGGCCGCCATCGCGTGTCGTGCAGCCAGGAGTTTGAGGACGTGGGGAGATGGGTGGGGGGGTGGGGGGAAGTAGGTGGATAGATGGCGGGAGTTGGGTGGATGGATGGGGGGGGGGGTCCTACCAACAGAGGAAGTGGCGTGGGACACTGTTATCTACCAAGAGTGGCAGGGCATATAACATAACTTAAGCGCTCTGTATTACCCACCCTCTTTCCCCCTCTCCTCTCCTCTCGTGCATCGGGATCCTCCCTCATGCCCTCCATATTGCAGAAGGGGCTGGGGGTGACATGGGACGTGCCTCTCTACGGCGAGCTTCTTAAGATTGGAGGGGGCAAGGAGCGGTATGCATGCGCGCCCTGCCCTTCCCCGTTCTCCGCTTGCACCCCTTTTCCATGCGCTGCGCCCTCCCTTGCTCGATTGTCAGACTTTCATCAAACCTGCTGCTCCTTCGAAGTACCGTGCCTGGACCCCCTTCCACGTATACGCGGTCTCGTTCGCGTCTTTCTAGACTGCTCTGCTCGTTCCCTGGCTGACTGTACGCATCCCATCCAATCCCATCCCTGTTCATTATGTTTTCATTCCTGCCCTCCCCTATTCCTTCCTTCACTGCACCACCCATCTCTCTCCCCTCTCCCCTCTCCCCTCTCCCCTCTCCCCTCTCCCCTCTCCCCTCTCCCCTCTCCCCTCTCCCCTCTCCCCGCTCCCCTCTCCCCTCTCCCCTCTCCCCTCTCCCCTCTCCCCTCTCCCCTCTCCCCTCTGCCGTCGCTTCCCTCCCTACACGCCCTCCTTTCCCTACTCTCCCTTTACTGCTCTCCCTCTCCTACCTGCTCTCCCTCTCCCCACTCTTCATTTCTCCAGCACGACGCATTACTGCAACAGAGTGGGGTGGCTAGCAGAAGCACCAACTGACCCCTCTGAGCGAGCAGCCTTCGTTGCTGGGCTGCACAAGAGCAAGACGGCTCCCAAGTCTCCCCGTCCTCCCCTCCCCGCCCTCTCCTGCCCCTGTATTTCCCAGTATGACGCACTACATCAGAGGAGTGGGTTGGCCTCAAGCAGCCCCCATGGACCCCTCGGGGCGAGCAGCATTTGTTGCGGGTCTGCACAAGAGCAAGACGGTTCATTCTCTTTTTCCCTTCCCTCCCATCCCCTTACCCAGCATGACGCATTATTTCAACGGCGTGGGCTGGCCAGCAGCAGCCCCTACCGACCCCTCGGAGCGAGCAGCCTTCGTTGCGGGGCTGCACAAGAGCAGCCTTCGTTGCCGGGCTGCACAAGAGCAGCCTTCGTTGCCGGGCTGCACAAGAGCAAGACAGCTCATTCTCTCCTTCCCTCCCCTCCCTCCCGCCGCCTTATCCAGCATGACGCACTACTTCGACGGCGTGGGCTGGCCAGCAGCAGCCCCAACCGACGCAACTGAGCGGGCAGCATTCGTGGCTGGGCTGCACAAGAGCAAGACAGCGCTCTTCATGGAGCTCGTGGAGACTGGCGCGCTGCCGCTCAGACCAGGCGTGGCACGGTAGGTGAGAGGATAGTTCTCTCCTACTGTGACAATGCGCAGGTGACTTGGTTGCTGGACTGACTGCACAACACGAGAGCAAGACCGCGCTCTGCATGCAGCTGGTGGAGACAGGGGCCCTGCTGCTCAGACCAGGCGTGGCACGGTAAGTGCACGTATGCCTGTTGTCTGGTTAGTTACCACATGAAGCTGACTGCCATATAACCTAAGGTGGCTCTACAAGAGCAAGATGGATCTGTTCTTGGAGCTCGTTGAGACTGGTGCGCTGTCCCCGAGGCCTGGCGTGGCACGGTGAGACAGACAAAGAGTGAGACAGACAGAGCTTTTCGTTTTCTAGCCATGCACATACATGTATTTACCGAGAGGAACCACAGGAGCAAGACGGCAGGCTCAATGAGCTCGTTTTGAGACTAGCGCCCTGCCTCTGAGAGACCAGGCGTGGTACGGTGAGACCGACAGCGCTCGTTGTTTTGTGTACGCATTAAGACGAGCCACAACAGCAAGACGGGTCTGTTCACGCAGCTTGTTGTGACTGGCTGGCTGTTGTAATGCGATAGTATGTAGATGGCGTGGCTATGTGACTGTGACTAGCGTGATGCTTTTTCATCTCAATGCCGGCCTTCCCTCCTTCCTTCCCTCCCAGGTGAAGCAATGGCAGCAGGTGTAAAGGCAGCTGTGTGCAGTACCTCCAATGAAAAGGTGGTGGGGGCGATTGTGAGGGTAACGCTGGGCCATCCGTCCATCTACAAGCCATCCCCTTACCCTTAGTCCCTCTCTCCCCCACTCCCAGTCTTCTCCACAAGGCGCTGGCAGCGGGCGTCAAAATAGCTGTCTGTAGCACTTCCAACGAGAAGGTGGTGGGAGTGACAGTGTGGGAGATGCTGGGCTGATTGATGGGTACAAACTGCTGCTGCATTCCAACTCAACTCAGTATAACCCTTCCTCTCCCCCCACTTCTCCCAGCCTCACTGATGAGGTACTAGCAGCAGGCGTGAAGGTGGCAGTGAACAGCGTACCGCATGAGAAGACGGTGGGGGCCATTGTGAGGGCAATAAGTTGTCTCACTCTCTCCTTGCTTCCATTCTTCCCCCCTTCCCTCCCTCCCAGTCTTATCGATGAGGCACTGGCAGCGGGCGTGCAGGTAGCTGTGTGCAGCACGTCCAACGAGAAGGCGGTGGGGGCCATAGTGAGGGTGATGCTGGGGGAAGAGAGGGCACAGCACATGCGGATATTTGCTGGAGACGTGGTTCCGAAGAAGAAACCCGACCCTGTGAGTTCAGGTTTGGGGTAGGAGCAGCACAGGTGATTGTGCGGGTGATGCTGGGGGAGGAGAGAGCGCAGCAATTGGAGATACATATAGATCTAGTGACGGATAAGCTGGACTGGGAGAGGAGGAGAGACATGGCTGCTGCCTTTTTTGTCGTTAGGCATAGCCTTGATCGTCTCCCTCCGGTCATGGCCCCCCCCATCATCCTACATCCCACCCCCTTGCACTCCTCATTCTCCTCCCCCATGGCATGCCATTTACAATCTCGCTGCGTCCACTCTCAACCTCAACCCAGCACGGTACATGCTCAACACGCATTGCTGCCCCCTCGTCTGCACCCCCCCAACCCTGACAGGCCATCTACAACCTCGCTGCGTCCACTCTCAACCTCAACCCAGCACGGTATCTCCCTTGACCCATGCTCTTCCTGCTGATGGTGGACCGCGTTGCCTTACATAGTATCACCCGTCCAGATTAACGCATTGATGTTTTCTTGAATCATCTTCTCACGGTTTCTGCACATCTCACATGCTGTGTTTCCACAGCGCAAGCGCGCCATGCTCACCTCATGTGCCGTGTTCGCGTCACCACATCTCATGTGCCATGTTACCACATCCATCCACCATGTTACCACATCCATCATGTTACCACATTCATCCACCATGTTACCACATCCATCCACCATGTTACCACATCCATCCACCTTGTTACCACATCCATCCACCATGTTACCACATCCATCCACCTTGTTACCACATCGGATGCACGTGATATGCGTTATTCAGCCCCATACGTGACAGTCGCATCCGCCTCACTGCTGCCAAGGTGGCTGGCACACGTAACAAAGACTCTCCCCATACCGCTTTCTGGGGCCATGTACCATGAGGCTGGCACACGAGCTATCTGAACCTCTGGTCTGTCTATGTTGAGTGCAGTTGAGTGGTGATTGAAGACACCCACATCGATCTCCCTTCTGCCAAGGCAGCTGGCGTGTCATCTCGTGTATCCCTCATGTACTGTGTTATGGCGTGTCATCTCGTGAATCCCACTTGTACTGTGTTATGGCGTGTCATCTCGTGTATCCCACTTGTACTGTGTTATGGCGTGTCATCTCGTGTATCCCACTTGTACTGTGTTATGGCGTGTCATCTCGTGTATCCCTCATGTACTGTGTTATGGCGTGTCATCTCGTGTATCCCACTTGTACTGTGTTATGGCGTGTCATCTCGTGTATCCCACTTGTACTGTGTTATGGCGTGTCATCTCGTGTATCCCACTTGTACTGTGTTATGGCGTGTCATCTCGTGTATCCCACTTGTACTGTGTTATGGCGTGTCATCTCGTGTATCCCTCATGTACTGTGTTATGGCGTGTCATCTCGTGTATCCCACTTGTACTGTGTCTCTCGTCCCTGCAGCTGTTGCGATTGAGGACAGCCACATTGGGGCTATATGTTTCCCCTGCATGTTAACCCCCTCCCCTCCCGTTTCCCCCCCTCTTATGACTCATGCCTCCAGCTGTGTGGTGATCGAAGACAGTCACATCGGCCTCACAGCAGCCAAGGCGGCAGGCATGACATGTGTTGTCACCAAAAGCGGGTACTGCTCTCTCTTCCTCTTTTTCTGCGATCCTCATTTTCTCACCCAACCACCTGCAAGACACCTCCATTTCTTGTGTTGACCAGTGTACGAGATCTGCACACTTCACCACCTCATCTATCCACCTTCCCACCAACACAGCACAGGAGAAAGTTCTTGCTGCTGGTATCATGGTGGCTCAACCCGTGCTTCGCTCATGCTTTGTTCGCTTGTTTCTGCTTCATCTGCTCGCTTTCCCCTATCCACGCTGCCCCCCACAAACCAGCTACACAGCCGATGAGGATTTCTCTGCTGCGGATGCAGTGTTTGACGCCATTGGCGACTCTCCAGCTGATGGTTTTGACCTCGCCTGCGTTGCCTCGCTGCTCAAGTCCCACAACTGATTCTGGGCTGTGCCATGCACAACACACCTGCTGATTTTGAGGCGCCTCCCAAAAGCAGACGTCGGCTGTCAGTTTTGACCTTCCCTGCCTTGCGTTGATTCTCTCAAGTCCCACAACTGAGGTGGGCACTGGTGGAAATGGATTATGGAAGCACCCAGCAGCACTAAGAAATGGCTTTCCGGCTTCAGCCTGCTTCAAGCAGGCCCTCCCGCCCCGCCACTTGCATCTGTATTTTGACCTTGCTGTTTTCGCCCTATCTGACAAACGCAAGCCTGGTAGGTAGTATACAGCTGCAGTGGCTGGCACAGGGCCTACAAATCACTCAGCCAACCAAGCCTGAACAAGCTTGGTGTTGTCCAGCTTGAGTGTATGCAACTGTATTGTTTACTGAAGCGTTTCAGAAAAGATGTACATAGCAAGAATGTTGCTTTATGAGGTGTACAGATTTTCAACTCACCATCTACACAGCGCAGCCCTTCCAGAAGTCATCAGATGGTACCGGAACTCCACCATCCCTGATTGATATAGCAGAGTGCACTCAAACAGAGCAAAATGGTTACAACAGTTCATCCCTTAGTAAGCACCTCCACCCCTGTATCCGTTATAAGCAGGGTGTGCTCAAACTGGGCTGTCAAGGTGCCATCTGCAGTCACTGCCGTCCACCCATCGTCCCACATCACGTCGCGCACCCCTCCCATGGTGAACATGGGCTCTGAAAGGAGGAGAGGGGGAAGGGAGGAAGGGAGGAAGGGAGGGGGGACGGACAGGCAAAGAGGGAGGAGGTTAAAAGAGTGCTCAAACTGAGCCGTCAAGCTGCCATCTGCAGTCACTGCCATCCATCATCCCACAACACGTTCCGCACCCCTCCCATTGTTAACATGGGCTCTGGATGGGAGGAGAGAGTGGAATGGGGGAGAAAAGGGGGGTTGTTTAGGTGGGTACGAAAGGCAGGGAGTCAGGGAGAAATGGGCCCGTAGGAGCTTACCTTCACAAGCAACATGCATGCATGGAGGCTTACCAATGGTGAATGTCTGCCCCACTTGCATGCGGCCCGGCTCATTGTTGCCTGATGGTAAGGGGCACGACGCAAGCGGGGAGAGAGCAAGGGCATGGGAGGGCAGGGGGAGCAGACGAACACGGGAGTAAGAGGACAACACACAGCGTGAGGGGGAGAAGAGTTACCACGGCATAGCAGAGAGAGGAGCATCAAGGCGAAGGAGGCGGGAAGAAGGGGGTGGGGGGAAGGGGGTGGGGGAGAATGCAACTAACGGTTGAGTAGGAAATATGCGTAAAGGTTTGTGGAAGGAGGGGGGGGTGGGGGAACTCACGGTAGTGCAGGACGGCAGGGCCGGCATGGAAGACAGAGCCGACGCCATGGCCGATGAACTTGCGCACGACGCCGTAGCCGTGCTTGTCCGCCACGGCACTGCAGAAGGGGGGGGATCACGCAGCAGAGGGAAGGCGCTAACAACCAAATGATGTCCACACTGTGACTGAGGAGTATACGCACGGCACCATACCCGTGCTTGGCATGGCTGGGATGTTGTTATGGCTGAACTGCACTGAATTGATTTTTTGCAGCGCCTCAAAAGCACAGCCATGCTTACTATGGCTGGTAGATCCTTGGACATCTTGCACTGAGCGCGGCGTCAGGAGACAGGTTAGTATGTAGGAAAAAACAGCCAGCACGATCACTGCAAGATGTCCAAGGCAGCCATGCTTGCTATGGCTGGTACATTTCTGAAGCTGAGCAGCGCTGAGTCACATGGCCCATGCTTCAGGAAAGGTCTATTGTGTTACACTTACTGACTAACATGGTCACTCACTTTAGGACCCAATTTAATAGAGTGTTATCTTCTTGGCTCACTCTGTTGGCACCGTGTCCAACTGACCTCGAGGCCTATTCTTTGTAACTCACTGGATAGCACGGCCCCATCCTACAGGCAAGGTCATTCATGTTCAACTCACTGGATGGCATGGCCCCATCCTACAGGCAAGATCATTCATGTTCAACTCACTGGATGGCATGGCCCCATCCTACAGGCAAGGTCATTCATGTTCAACTCACTGGATGGCATGGCCCCATCCTACAGGCAAGATCATTCATGTTCAACTCACTGGATGGCATGGCCCCATCCTACAGGCAAGATCATTCATGTTCAACTCACTGGATGGCATGGCCCCATCCTACAGGCAAGGTCATTCATGTTCAACTCACTGGATGGCATGGCCCCATCCTACAGGCAAGGTCATTCATGTTCAACTCACTGGATGGCATGGCCCCATCCTACAGGCAAGATCATTCATGTTCAACTCACTGGATGGCATGGCCCCATCCTACAGGCAAGATCATTCATGTTCAACTCACTGGATGGCATGGCCCCATCCTACAGGCAAGATCATTCATGTTCAACTCACTGGATGGCATGGCCCCATCCTACAGGCAAGATCATTCATGTTCAACTCACTGGATGGCATGGCCCCATCCTACAGGCAAGATCATTCATGTTCAACTCACTGGATGGCATGGCCTATCTTCTTGAACTCCACATCTGGCCCACATAGAGCTATCGCTGCATCTAGTGCCTCCTCAGTCACCTGGTGGAGGCACGCACATGTGGAGCGAAAAGAAATAGCAACAGGAGATACCGATTAGAACCAGCAGATATTGTTTCAGAAACCCTTCAAACCCATCAGCAAAGATTTTTCCAGAAACATTTCATACCCATCAGCAATTATATTTCCAGAATACCTTCAAACCCATCAGCAAATAGTTTTCCAGAAACCCCTTCAAACTCAGCAGAGCACACTATGGACCCAATCCGCTTCCCACACCTCCCAGCCTTCTGCACCTCACCTGCACTAGCTTCTGTGCGGGTTTAGATTCGTCTCCACAGAAGAATGTCTTTGACGTGTCGCCGTGGTAACCCTATGACCAGGAGAGCACACTATGGACCCACTCTGCTTCACTCTGGAGCACACCCCCCAGCTTCGAAGTCACCTCACCTGCACTAGCTTCTGAGCAGGTTTAGATACATTCCCACAGAAGAATGTTTTTGACGTGTCGCCGTGGTAACCCTGTGAGAGAGAGAGAGAGTGGGAGAAGGGGAAAGGCTCTAAAGGCATGAGAGAGAAATGGAGGGCTACGTGAGTGTGCGTGTGGTGGAAGGGATGGGAGATGGGAACGAAGGCATGGATGAGGCAGCTGCCCGCAAGATAAGACTCGCATTCACCTGGACAAAGCTTACGAAAAGCTTACATTAAGGTAGACAGTAACATCAATGTTGATTATATCACCATCCTGTTTGTGGGGATGGGACAGCCAAGCAGCAGAGGACAAGCAGACACAGGAAAGAGAGGCAACAAAGCGTGTGCAGGAAAGAGAGAATTGTTTACGGACCTGGTCAGAGTTACATGCTTCATGCGCGGATAGGAAGACAGCGCACCCACTGACTGAGAAGCATGAGATATTTTTAAAAGCATCTCGAAACAAATTCTGTAAGGTGCCGCAAATAGTCAACTTAACACCCAATGAGGGGCACGCTAGATAGAGTGTTATGCCTCTTGCTTGTAGAGCTTTTTTTTCCATGACATAAATGATAGGGCGTTCTCGAATAGGGTGGGAATACAAAACCCAAGCTGCTATTGCTATATATCTGCCTCAAGCTGCCAGGGGTGTGGAATGCCATGACAGATACACTCATTTAGACATGGGCAGCATGCCGGGCCTGGCTCGACTCGGCTCGACTCGACTCGCCTTTTTGGCGAGTCGAGCCGGGATTTTTTTTTTGCCGGCTCGACCCGAGTCGAGCCGGGTCGAGCCGGTCGAGCCGCGCGGCTCGGCTCGACTCGTCGCAAATTTCATGGCGAGCCAAAGTCGAGCCGGCTCGACTTTGGCTCGAATTTGGCTCGACTCCCGAAGCGCGCGGCTCGCCAGCGGGGGGTCAAAATTCGACCCCCCTGGAAGACGAAAATCCATTTTAGGTTTCGATTTCCAGCGAGCCTAAGCATGCTTCTAGGCTATTTTGCCACCATAGCTTGCCCTCACTCCACCAACACCACTACTTTAGATTATTTTCGCCCACCTTATACTGTTGTAGGACGGATCTAAGGGTTTAGGGACCATTTCCACATATGTGTGTTGCATGATGTCTCAACGTCACTACCCACTGAACAACCTATTCAAAGTCCCAAATTGCCACCACGCTGCCCTAAACACAAGCTGGCCTTCAGCGAACCCTTACTCTCCAAAACAGCGATGTAGCAAGTCTTTCCAAAATCTGCAACCGAAACCCTTTTGGCGAGTCGAGCCGAGCCGAGCCAAGGTCGAGGCGACCCTTGGCTCGACCCTGAACCCCCGAGTCGAGCCAACCAATTTGGGCCAGCCGGCTTGGGTCGAGTCGAGTCGGCTCGGCTCGACTTTTACCTGGCTTGAGGTCGAGTCGAGCCGAGTCGAGCCAGGCTCGGCATGCTGCCCATGTCTACACTCATTAAGTGGGAGCCTGGGAGCTTGTGGAATGCCAACGAGCACACAAACAAGAGCCTGGGAGCAAAGGCACGTCTTTCACAAGCTCACCTCGACTCGAGCCTGACACAAACAAGAGTCTGGGACTCTGTGGCAGACACACGCGTTGATTGACATGCACACGGAGCTGGTTTGTGGGGCGAAATCACCCTACTGTTTCCCACGTTTCCAAAGCAGGGACTGAGCTTACCTTACTGAGTCTGGAATCCCATGGCGAGCTGCACTCGCTGACTTACGTGCACACACACAGACCTGTGTTGCGGGCCCGAGCTTCCACTCGTTTTCCCCACGTTTTTCAAGGTACCAGAGAGCAGGGGTATGGGGGGGCCCAACCCACCTCAAGTGGCCTGGCCTAGAGTTCGGAATCCCGTGGCAGTTGTACTCGTTGACAGACGTGCACACAGATTTCGAGTTGTGGGTTGTGCGTCACTAACCTTGAGCGCCCTGGAGTCTGGGATGCCATGGCAGATGCACTGGTTGACGGAAGTCCACACGGACATGGGTTGTGGATATCAATCTGTCAATCTTTCTTTCTCTCCATCCCCAATACCAAAGGTCCTTTAGCTCACCTGAAGCGGCCTGGAGTCCGGGATCCCGTGGCAGATGCACTCGTTGACCGATGTGCACACGGACTTGGGGAAGCCCGCATAGTTGAGAGGCGAGGGGTATGCGCCCGCCTCTATGATCATCTCATGCACCACTCGGTCGATCTCATCTGTTGTCACTCCGGGCTGGGGGGAAACGGATAGCATGGGATACTGGGTGATGAATAGAGGGGGGAGGGGGGTGTCGACCCGCCTCAATATCATGCCGTGTACCCCGCGGGCGGTCCACCTCGCCCGTTGTCACTCCGGACTGCAAAACTGCACCGAAAACACGGGAGAGAGGTTGGATTGAGCTATGAGGAAGACGCGGGAGCACCCACCTTGATGACCATCTCATGCACATTGCCCTGCCTTCTATCCCGCATTTCCTCACCCCCCCCCACCTCCCCCCTTTTCCCCTTCCCCCTTCCCCCGTCCCCTTGTAATCGCACCTTCACAAGTGTGCCGGCATGGTCTCTCACTTGTACTGCCGGCCAGCCAGCTGCCCCACCCCACCTACCTCATCCGACTGACGCCCTCGTAACCATGTACCTCAGTCAACTCTCCTATCTCCACCAACTTTACCCCCCCCCCCTCCCCTCCCCCCCCCTCCCTCCTTCCTCCCAACCCCCCCCACCCACATCACGCACGCACCCACGCACACCCACGCATGCACACGCGCACACACACAAACACACCCACCCACCCACCTTCACCAGCGTGCCGGCATGGTCTCTCACTCGTGCTGCCAGTTCACCCGCCTCCCTCATCCGCCTGATGCCCTCCTCCCCATGCACCTGCCACGAAATACCGCACGTCGTGATGCCAAGTGTGAGAATAACACATGATGCATGCATGCATGGGGCATTGCCCCACTGCCCTCATCCGCCTGATGCCCTCCTCCCCATGCAACTTCCATGCATCAAAGTCGGGGCCGTGTGCTTCATGCCAATTGATTGATGCCACGTGATTGATGCCACGTGATTGATGCCAACGTGTTTGATTCCACGTGATTCATGCCACGTGATTCATGCCACGTGATTCATGCCATGTGATTCATGCCATGTGCTTCATGCCATGTGCTTCATGCCATGTGATTCATGCCAAGTGCTTCATGCCATGTGCTTCATGCCATGTGCTTCATGCCATGTGCTTCATGCCATGTGATTCATGCCATGTGCTTCATGCCATGTGCTTCATGCCATGTGCTTCATGCCATGTGCTTCATGCCATGTGATTCATGCCATGTGCTTCATGCCATGCGCTTCATGCCATGTGCTTCATGCCATGTGCTTCATGCCATGTGCGAGAGAAGCACATCCTCCTGATGAATGGGGCTCCATGGCCTGGGGGGGAGCCACGCCGCTGTCAGCATAGGACGGCTGCGGCGGGATGTAGGGAGGCTTTGGGCGCGTTGGAAGGCAGAGACGCATGCGTGCACCCCAAAGCATCCATTCCCCAGGACACACCTGGGGCTCCATGGGCCGGGGGGGGGCAACGCCGCTGTCAGCACAGGGATCTGTGGGATGCGATGTGAGGGGTCACTGGGCGGGTGCGGAACACACACACACACCTGCATTCCCCAACACATATACAAGTATCCGTGCCCCATCCATCACGCACCTGCGGCTCCATGGTCCAGGGGGTGGGTGGGGTAACACCGTTGTCAGCATAGGGGGGCCGTTGGATGTGCGGGCGCCAGGCAATGCAGGGGAAGGACACACACACACACACACACACACACACACACACACACACACACACACACACACACACACACACACACACACACACATAATTGCATTTTCTATACACATACCTGGGGATCCATGGTCCAGGGAGGAGCAACTCCGCTGTCCGCATAGGGTGGCCGGGGGATGTGGGGGGGCACTGGGCGCGTGGGGGACAGATTCCCCTGCTTCAGGGGGGCCTTGGGGCGCGACTCTGCTGGCGGACCTGAGAAGCTGGGGGAGCGGAGGGGTGGGGAGGAAGGGGGAAACGGGCGGGGGCAGAGGGGGGAAGCAGGGGCGGGGAGGCATTTTCAGCAGGGGGGCACTGCACTGGGCGCGCAGGGGACAGCTTCCCACACTTCAAGGAAGCTTTAGGGCACGATTCTGCTGGCTGGCACACCTGACATGCTGGGGGAGGGGGGAGGGGGTAGGGAGGGGCAAGAGGGAGAAAATGGGGAGCAACCACCACTGTCAGCATAGGGTATGTGGGGAGCCATAGGGGCGTGTGGAGGGACATAGGGATTGGGGGTGTGGGGGGATATGGGAGGGCACTGGGCGCGTGGGGTACAGCTTCCCAGTTTCAGGGGGGTCTTAGGGAGCGAATCTGCTGGCACACCTGAGATGCTGGGCGGAAGCGCAGGGGGGAAAGGCAGGGGGGAAGTGCAGGGGGGAAAGGGCAGGGGGGAAGCGCAGGGGGGAAGGGCAAGGGGGGGGGGCAGGGGGGGGCAGGGGGGAAGGCAAGCCACCAAAACAAGCCACCATGTTGTGCTCGGAAGGCAAGCTTCACATGCGTGAGTGAATTCTAACACATACCCCAAAAATACAAGACCGCACCCGCGCACGCTGCCCATCTATTCGCATCCCCTCCTCCCCCTCCCCCTACTCTCCCCTCCCTCCCTTCTCCCCTCCCCCCCCCCCCCACTAACCCCGTCCCTCGTTCAAAAGCTACTCGAAACCCCACTGCTCTGTCCCGCCCATCCATTCCTCCGCCCTACCCCTCCGCCCTACAATTCCGCCCTGCCCCTCCGACCCATCCTTCCGCCCAACCCCTTCCCCCTACCCCTTGGTCAGCAGCTGCGCGAATCCAGACTTCTTCCGCGCCATAGCCACTGGCGCAACGATCTTCCGCAGACGGGGTGAGGCTGAGGGGAAGGGAGCGGAGGGTAGGGGGGGGGGAATGGGGGGCAGCGGGAATGGGAGGCCAGTGGTAAGATGGGTGGGGGAGAAGGGGGGAGGGGAGGGGGGAATCGGGGGAGGAATTGGGGCGCGCGTGAAGTGGGGAGGCGGGATGAGTGTGGATAGCAAGGGGAGAACGGAGGGCAGATAGAGATAGAACGGGAGAGTGGAAGCTGCTAAAAGGTACGGAAAGCGAAGCATCGCGAGATCCGCGTCCGAACAACAAGCGGGCGAGGGAGAATTGCGAACGGCACAATGAAAAGGGAGAGGTTGAGCATGGAAATCAACAGCGTTTCTGGTATTTTACGCCTGACGAGCCCACAACCTTCTTCCGGTAATGCATACTGATTTACTCCTCCCATTGCAGTAGCGGTACTATTTCATACCTTCGAAAGCTGGAACGAATATCGACCCCTTCGCGAGTCTCGCATCACTCCATAGCGAGGAATGCTGCCAGCCTAGATTCCCCGCGGAACTCGCTAGCCCCTGCGAAGGCGCGAGACGCGAAGCCAACGCGCGCGCAGCCATTGTTCCGCCGTTAAATGCGGGGCGCACGGCGCACGACGACATAATTAACTAGCGTTAGCCTCTACTTAGCCTTAGCCCCCAGCGGTAGTGCGGAGCAAAAAGCTAAGTGTGATTTGGGCACAACGGGTGAGGAAGAGGATAAAGTGGCACCAGAAAGGGAAGGAGGGACGTGTTGCAACATTTGCAGTTCTGCTGGTTGAGTTCGGTTCGGGGCGTCTCAGGGCGTGCCAGCGCGTTCTTATATTATTCACTTGGCGTGACAGGTACAGAATTCAGGTATGGTAACCCGAAATTCCGCGTCTTTTAGGACCCGCGCGAAAAGTGCACGGTTTTAGCGGACGCTCTCAGGGCGTGTCCAGCGCGTTCATTTACCCCAACACGAATTTTTGACGTTTTTTTAACACGCCGAAATATTGATTCGCCAAGTGTGAATGTGTTGAGGTACACCTACCGTATCAAGAGCAAAACGCTGGGACACGAGCGGACACGAGCCCCGCCTGTGGCTCGACAAATGAGCGGGTGCGCAGCGCACACATAACAGACTGACACGCGAAAACAGCAGGGTAACCTAATTTCGCCCCGTGAAAGAGGCCCCGCCCGCTTTCGCGAACACGCATTACGAGCCGTGAAGGGGAGAAAAACACAAACACAGGACGAATAGTCGGGCCGACGCCAGAAACAGAGTCGCACATGCAACTCCAATTCTACTTCCCCTTTTTTCGCCGTGCTTCGCAAGCGTCACGAAATCCTGGCGAATCTAAGCGTTCTATTTTTCGCCAGCCAGGATTTGGAAATTTCTGCCATGTACATAATTTGCGAACGATTTTCATTCGGTTCGGAAACGCGTGGCCCACGTCTGCCGGCACATTTGAAGGGTTACCAGGGTTACCAAAACCGTCAACCGAATGGACACGAAATTGCGGGTTACCATGTCGAAATTTTGTACCTGATATGCAAAGTGCATAGTACACGAACTCGCTGGACAAGCCCTCAAAGCGACCCAGTAGTCTTGGTGCGCATGTTTCGAATCTGGTTGGAAATTGTGTCCGAAACAGACTCCCGCCAGAAACGACAAATCCTGGCTGGCGAAAAGATAACACACCACTTCGTCGTGCAATCTCTTCAATGCCAGGGCGAAAATAGCGAGGCCTCGTTTTCCAGGCTATCGTAACTCTGCATGTCTCGCTTCGCAGAGCAATTTGTCTTGTCAGCGGTGGGACACAAGGCCGAGCCAGGCATGCTCTCTGCAGTCGACACGTGAGCCTCGCGACATCTACACTCGCCGTAACATTTTTCGACATGTACAGAAGACGTTAAAAATACGTGTTAGGGCGAAATGAACGCGCTGGATACGCCCTCAAGGAGGGAGGCGAACTAGAAAAAATGAACCCGACGAACTTTTCAATGCCGATGAGTGGACGAATTTTGAGTGGTTGGATTTTACCTGGATCGCGCCCTGATTACTCCCTAGGATTATATGAGGTTTGTTATTTACTTAACGAAACAGAAATGGCGAAAGCTTCATTGGAGCTGATCTTTTCGCGAAGCACTCTTTTGTCCGTGTTATAGAATCATGCGTCAAATAGGATCCAGCAGCAAAACAAGACTCGAGGTTCCATTTCACCTTTCTTTCACTTGCGTCACTTTTCGCTCTTCGCGCATGGCGGGTTCTGCTTGCCTCACTTATCCCCACGTGGTTCGCATGCAGGTCATTGCAATGAGGTTCGGCATTCGCTCAGACACGCGCAGCGCCACAGCGCTCCTTGACAGGCGACATTTTAGACATTATTCCAAGGGGTACGCACTTGGAATAATGTCTAAAATGGCACGGATGGTCCTCCGTGAAAGCTAGCAGCCGTCACATCAAGTGCCATCCCCTCGAAATACGCCTTGACACTCCCGGACACCCCTAGACATGCGCTACGCCATAGCTTCTCTTTTACCGACGTTATTCTATCCGACCTTCCGAACCGGCCTGAAAATGGGACTCGATATAAGAACGAAAGCTGCATGTTACGAGTTGGCCCTAAACGAAGAGATCCTTTCTCAAAATCCCTCGCCGTTCTCCGAAGTCGACTCCTCGCATCCCCTCATCGCGTTCCCATGGTTCGATCCAACCCCTCTCTCTCTTCGCTCTCACTCACCGGCGATGGCGACAATCGTCTCAACTCTAAGGGCCTTGCTATTGCGCTCCGGTCATCGTCTAACAGACTCGAGGCCTTGAAACTCTCTCAAGTGCCCAATTTCCGCCCAGGCTTGCTTGCTGACTGCAGCAGCTTGCGATCGCTAAGTCTAGGACGAGTCGGAGAGGTCTTTGTAGCCCTCGAGTCGTTTGAAGGCCTCGCGGAAATGTTAATGAGGGTGAAGGAGAGGGAGGGAGGAGAGAAATGGGTAGAAGCATCTGTGGAAGGTGGATGGAGGGAGGGTGGAGCAACAGCGGCGTCTACGGCAGCAGTGGCTGCGACAAGGGACGGCAGGATGGGAGGGACGAGAGTATATGTTGATATTCGCATGGCAGCAGCAGCAGCTGAAGCTGATACTTTTTTCACAGTGGAATTAGCAAGAACGCTGGTGGTGGTGGATGCGATGCTCTTTATAGACTATGCAAGAACGGAGAGTCGGTTAGTCGGGCAGAATTCAAGTTCTCTTAAGAAGGCTGTGCAGCAGGTAGTGCTGGCCATTTCAGCCTGCCAGTCTGCTCTTCTTGCGATTGAGGATGTCGAAGCTCCAACGGGGAGAAGCTGTGCTGAAGCATGCATTTGCTGCTTCCTCCCAGACATCTGTAATCCTCACTATGGAGAGAAGCGGAGACGAGGGCAACTTTGAAGGTGACACGCCTATGGGTGACTACTCAGCTGCTGCAGGGGCTGCTGCAGGGGCTGCTGCAGGGGCTGCTCCAGGGGCTGCTGCAGGGGCTGCTCCAGGGGCTGCTCCGGAGGCTGCTGCGCCCGATGGTTGGGGTGGTCTGCCAGACGGGTATCCATCTGGAAGTCTGTTGGATGGGTGTCCGTCTGTTCCAGACTGCCCCATACAGGCTGGCAGGCTGTTGACCTCGCTGCTGCAGCAGCTTGAGCAGCTGGCTCCTGCTGTGTCTCGTTGCCAGGAGCTTATCGATGCGTTATGCGGTAACCGGAATCGAATGGTTGAGATGCGAGCAGCAACTGGGGTAGCGGCAGGAACACGGGCGGCAGGGCAACAGGAGGAAGAGAGGCGGGGAGGAGTGACACGAGGAGGAACACAGGGAGGAGGAACACAAGGGAAGGGGGAGGAGAAGGAGAAGGGAGAGTTGGGGAGCAGAGGCACAGCAGAGGGAGCAGCCGTGCAGAGGACCCAACTGGCAGCGCGCATGCAGGTTTTCAGCCCTCCACTGGAAACGCTGATTCTGGAAGATTCCAGGTTCAGCCGCACTTCCACGCCTACCTGGGTGCTTCATGACCTTGACAATGCTTCTCCTCCCTTGTCCCTCGCCCAACCCACCACCGGCTCTCAACCGACCAGTGGAGCTCAACCCACCAGACGGAACCAGCCTATCAGTGCTGCCTCATCCAGCCTCTCACCCACCTCCCCTTCTTCCGCTGCCCCCTCAAGCTCTTCCCTTCAGCAGCAGCAGTCGTTTGAGAGCATTGTTTGGGCCGCTGCTTTTTAGAGGCTGAAGCGGCTGGCGCTGTTGCGCTGCAGTGGGTTAGGTGAGCAGCAGCTGATTCGGCTGCTCCAGGCATGCCCTGTGCTGGTCAAACTGAAGGTGAAAGACAACGAGGAGATTTCAGACAGGGTTGTTCTGGGTAGCGGGCTGGGGAGGCTCACGCATCTGACTCTGGTGGAGAAGGAGAAGGTGCAGGAAGAGGCTCGGAGGGAGTTGCTTCGGGCAGGGGTGGTGGTGAGGGGAGTGTGAGGGAGCGTGAGGGGAGTGGCGGAGTGAGGGGAGTGTGAGGGAGCGTGAGGGGAGTGGCGGAGTGAGGGGAGTGTGAGGGGACTTAGAGCTTCGAGTTCATGTCTGCAGAAGTTTCCCCAGGTTGTTGGAGTTGAGGGTGGAATGTTGGAGCTGCTTCACGCTGGTGAAGGGAGTGTGAGCATACAGAGTGCAGCTGGCGAATTTGTGTAAACGGAGTGCGAAGGAGAGTTTGTGGAGTGTGAGGTTTACCGAATGCAGCAGGCGAATTATTTGAGATAGTTCGGGTTGTATGTAGCCAAGGCGGTAGCTGCTGCCTTGCTGGTCAAGGCGTTGTTGGATGCTAGTAACATGAGAGATAGCCAAGTTGACTCTAGTTTCAATTCCACAAGAGGCTCATCATCAAACATCAGCCCTGCTGACTCATGCCAGCAGAGCTGATCTTTCATGCCAAGGCGCTCTGATCCAGCCCCCCAGAAGTGAATCTTCATTGAAGGGACATTTGCCAAAACTTGACCCGTCAGGTAGTATTGTTGTATTGAATGCGCAACCAACCACTATTGTTGTATTTATCTGTTCATGCCAATGGGCTGCAGCAGCCGATGGTCTGCCACGAGACCAGATACTCCACCTCCCTCACTGGCCGTACTGCTGCGCTGTGAGATGTGCAGTGCAGTGCAACCATTGTCCCTCTTTCTTTCTTCTCTACCAGATCCATCATCACCTCCTGCACTGGCCCTGCTGCTGACTTGTGACACTGGATTTGGGACCTCTCCATGGTATAGACAATATGCAACCACAATTGCTGCATTTTCTTTTATCCACTCACGCCAAACGGCTGCAGCAGCCGATGGTCTGCTACCAGATCCTCCACCACCTCCCTCACTAGCCGTGCTGCTGACTTGGGCACCATAGCGGCATAGACCATGGGCGGGACGCCTGGGGGGTAAGGGCGTGGGGGGGAGGAGGGGAGAGAACAAGTGTTGGTAGCCTCACCTCATCAACCACCACCTCCCGCACTGGCCTCGCTGCTGACTTGGGCACCATGGCCGCATTAGGCATGAGCAAATGAGTCGAGTTTCTGACTCGACTCGTCAACTCGGCTCGCCTTTTCGCGAGTCGAGTTTTTTTTTTTGCTCTTCTGACTCAACCCGAGTCGAGTCGAGTGGAGTCGGTCGAGTCACGAGTCAAAGCTCGACTCGACCAACATTTTTGGCTGAATCGCGGTCGAGTCGAGTCGACATTCGAGAAGCATACACCATGGGGGGGATGCCTGGGAGGTAGGGATAGGATACTGGAGAGAGAGGAGAGAAGCGCACTGAGTCTAAAGAGGAGTGATTGGCCTCGTTGCTGACTTGGGCGCTGTGGCTGCATACACCATGGAACCATGGGGGGGATGCCTGGAGGGAGGGAGATGGGGGAACCGGAGAGGAGAGAAGAAGTGTTGATAGGCTCAGCCACCACCTCCGTGACTGGCCTTGCTGCTGGCTTGGCAGCATGGCTGCATACACCATGGCGGGATCCCTGCAAGTATGAGTGTGCGAGAGAAGGAAGGAGGAGATGAGGGGAGAGGGAGAGTGATAAGAGGCTCAGCCACCACCTCTCTGACAGGCCTTGCTGCTGACTTGGGCACCACGGCTGCATACACCATGGCGGGAATGCGCAGGCACGCATGCACGCGTGCACGCGTGCACGTGTGTGTGTGTGTGTGTGTGTGTGTGTGTGTGTGTGTGTGTGTGTGTGTGTGTGTGGTGTGTGTGTGTGTGTGTGTGTGTGTGTGTGGGGTGTGTGGGTGTGTGTGTGTGTGTGTGTGTGTGTGTGTGTGTGTGTGCACGCACGCATGCACTCGGGGAAAAAGCTTGGAGGGAGAAGAGCAGGGGTAAGGTGGTGAGGACCATCAGCAGCCTGGGTGCAGCGCTGAGAGGAATCGGAGGAGATAAGGAGAGACAGTTAGAGACAAAGACAAGACAAACAGCATACCCAGGTTGCTGGTGATCTCGATCAGGACACGCATTGCTGGCGTGGCGGTCTCAATGCCAGACAAGCACACCTACTACCCCAGATCCTACCTTTCAAAAAGTGGAAGAGAGAGTCGCAGAGAACAAGGCACGAAACGTACCGAGGTTGCTGATGATCTCGATCAGGTCCATGATCTCAATGCCCGACAGCCCCGACACAATGCACACCCGCTCGCCCACGTCGTTTGGCCATTGGCTACCGCTAGTTGCCTGCTGACGGTAGAATGAAAGGGAGCGTAATGCAGGGGAGATGGGGGAGAGAATGGGAGAGTGTCACTCGCCCACGTGGTTGGGCCATGGCTGCTGCTGCTTAGAGAGGAGAGGGGGCGTGGGAGGAGAGGGGGCGTGGGAGGAGAGGGAGCGTGGGAGGAGAGGGAGCGTGGGAGGAGAGGGAGCGTGGGAGGAGAGAACTGCCCAGGATGAATGGGATGAGATCCACACAGCAGATGCAGCATCAGCCGCAAGCACGGCAGACAGAGCAGACATTGCAGCACACAGCAGAAAAACCCGTGCCACTGATGCAGCCGCCTCAGAAGGCGCAGGCGTGGAAGGGAGGGGCTGGGCGGCTCTCTCCGTAGCATCATACCGCGCAAAATACCAGGATACACAGCAGTGCAAGCAGCGCACCTGTGCTTCTGATGCAGCCGCTACAGAAAGGGAGGGGAGGGGCTGGGCGGGGCCTTCCATGGCAGCATGCATACATCATACCATGCATCATACCATGCATCATACCAAGCATCATACCATGCATCATACCATGCATCATACCATGCATCATACCATGCATCATACCATACATCATACCATGCATCATACCAAGCATCATACCATGCATCATACCATGCATCATACCATGCATCATACCATGCATCATACCATGCATCATACCATGCATCATACCATGATACACAGCAGCGCACCTGTGATGCAGCCGCTACAGAGGGCGCGGCCATGGAGGGGAAGGGCTGGGCGGCCCTTTCCATGGCGTCCCACAGCGTCATATCCGCCACTGATGCGTCTGCTGATAGCAGCTGCGAGTTTCAGAAGCGGGAAGGGGGAAGGACGGGCGGGCGGAAATTGATGAAGGTGTGGAAGAAGCTCGACGATGTCCAACAGGGTGATGCCCCATGGGGTGATATCCGCCACTGACGCGTCTGCTGATAAGAACTGAGGGTTGGGAATGGGGCGACGGGGACTTTAGGGCCATTCAGAAGAGAGTGACTTCAGGGCCATTCAGAAGAGAGTGACTTCAGGGCCATTCAGAAGAGAGTGACTATAGGGCCATTCAGAAGAGAGTGACTTTAGGGCCATTCAGAAGAGAGTGACTATAGGGCCATTCAGAAGAGATCCGCTTTAGGGCCATTCAGAAGAGAGCGACTTTAGGGCCATTCAGAAGAGAGCGACTTTAGGGCCATTCAGAAGAGAGCGACTTTAGGGCCATTCAGAAGAGAGTGACTTTAGGGCCATTCAGAAGAGATCCGCTTTAGGGCCATTCAGAAGAGAGTGACTTTAGGGCCATTCAGAAGAGAGTGGCTTTTGGGGCCATTCAAAAGTGAGTGACTTTAGGACCATTCAGAAGAGAGTGACTTTAGGGCCATTCAGAAGAGAGTGACTTCTCTTGAGAACCCGTTTGATAATAATCTGGTTGTGAGACGTCCCAGACGTGGGGTGCATACCTTGATGAAGTCCGCCTCTGCTTCTTGCAGTGCTGCTCGGATCTGGAGAGGGACGTGCGCGGGAAGAAGGTGGGAGGAAAGGGAAGAAGAGGAGAGAATGCAGAGTGAAAGACGATGACAGGGAAGGGAAGGCAGGAACACAACCTGCTTCTTGCCTTGCAGCGCTGCTCGGATCTGCAGAGGGCTGTGTGTGGGAACGAAGGGGGGAGACGAGGGAAGATCAGGGGAGAGCGTGGAGATGAGGGATAGAAGATGAACACAGGGCCTGCTTTTGAGTCGCTCTCAAAGATCGACTTTTGAGTCGACTCAAAAGTCTCTCAAAAGAGAGCGACTTTTGAGTCGACTCAAAAGTCTCTCAAAAGAGAGCGACTTTTGAGTCGACTCAAAAGAGAGCGTGGAGATAGAACATGAACACAGGCAGGGCCTGCAGAAACATCAACGGCTTCTTGCAGCGCTGCTCCAATCGGCAGGGGAGTGTGAGAGGGACGATAGGGAGGACAAGTGACGATAGGGAGGACGAGGGACGATAGGGAGGACGAGGGACGATAGGGAGGACGAGCGACGCAAAGAAGGCAATAAGGGAAGGGCGAGGAGAAGAATTAGAGCAATGGTGATTGGAGGACGGGGCACAAACGCGCGTACAAACCACTCACACACGTGCGCGTGCACATACGAACAGATGCGCGGACACACACACGCACACCCCCCTGCCCCCTCCCCTTCCCCCCCCCCACCTCACACACATGCCCACTTCACACACACCCTCCCACATACCTTCTCAATCTCATCTGATGTCAAGTGCTTTTGAGGCGCCTCAAAAGCCCTCCCACATACCTTCTCAATCTCATCTGATGTCAAGTGCTTTTGAGGCGCCTCAAAAGCCCTCCCACATACCTTCTCAATCTCATCTGATGTCAAGTGCTTTTGAGGCGCCTCAAAAGCCCTCCCACATACCTTCTCAATCTCATCTGATGTCAAGTGCTTTTGAGGCGCCTCAAAAGCCCTCCCACATACCTTCTCAATCTCATCTGATGTCAAGCCCAGAAGCAGCAACGCCTGCAAGCAACCGCAAAGCGAAGCACCAAACGGATTAAAAGAGGTGAGAGGTTTTTATAGCAGACACAGAAAGCTCTTACAGGAAACAAATACACACACACGAAAAGTGCGTAGCTTGAAACAGAGGATGCAGGTGTCCAGGTATTTAGCCATGTCCACAAACCCGCTTCATTTCAAAAGCAGCTGTCTAGCCATCCATTGCCACGTCCAAATATCCTCTTGTCTCAATCATGCACAGAAAGTCCGACGCCTGTGATGTCCTGAGCGTGTAACAGGCGCCATGATCTGTAACAGCACCGCGTGTCATGTTGTGTGTCATGCTGTGTGTCATGTTGTGTGTCATGTTGTGTATCATGTTGTGTGTCATCAGACCGCATCCCTTGCGCCACGTCTTCAGTACCAATCTAGTTCCGGATTATCAATCAACCCCCACAGCCACATCTGGTGCCTTTCAGAATATTCTCAACCTAAACCTCGGCCCAAAAAGCCTCCGATTCGCCAGTAAGGGGAACAAACGAGCCCTCGCCCTCCCATTCTCATCTTTCCACGCCACGGGCGATCTTGAGGCACCTCTGCAGGTCCTTACTCTCCTACCTTGTAAGAAACCCCCCTACCCCTACGCCGGGGTCAGAACGCCTGGGACTCGTCAGAAAGGGGAACAAACCGACATGCCCTCTCCACTCCCTCCCTCCTCGTCTTTGCACGCCACAGGCGATCTTGAGGCATCTCTGCAGGTCCTTACTCTCCTACCTAGTAAGAAACGCTCCCACCCCACCCCCACCCTTACCTTGCGTCCTCGAGAGACCAACCAAAGCCTACCTCAGGTCCGAACGCCTCTGACTCGTCAGTGAGAGGCACAAAGCCCTCGGCCTCCCCATCGCTGTACCCCAAGGGCTCCTCCCCCGACGAAGTCAGCCCCAGCTGCTGCCCCCCGCCCTCGCCAGACGCGCTGCCTGTGACGCATCACGAGGAGCGGAGGCATGAGAGGGGGAATGAAATCATCGGCGCACACACGCCCTCGCCCTCCCCATCGCTGCACTTCAAGGGCTCCTCCCCGGACGCTGACAGCCTCAGCTGCTCCCCCCTGCCCCCGTCAGACGAACTGCCAGTGACACACGACGGGCAACGGACAGGAGGAAACAAGCAGTGCAAATAAGCGCTCGCCTTCCCCTCCCCATCGCTGTACCTCAACGGCTCCTCCCCTGACGCTGTGAGCCCCAGCTGCTGTCCCCCTCCTTCGCCGGAAGTGCTGGCGGGGACACGAGACGAGGAAAGAAAGGTAAAAGGGAGATCTCTCTCACACGAGGGAAATGGCAGGGGTAGCTGAAAAGAAGGAGTCGGAGAGGCAAGGGGAAAGGGAGGGAGAAATGGCTGGAGGAGGAACCCTCCAGGGAATCGGTGTTTGAGACCCACGGGCAGGAGTCGATGTTCGGGCCCGATGAAAATCTTGGCGTCGCCTCAACCACTCCTGGCTCCTTATAAGCACCTCCCACTTCCCCACCGCTCATCACCCTTTCCCCTGCATCCGGCACATCTTGACATGCTACTCGACCCAACGCACAAAGCTAACGGAGCGCCCCCCCCCCCACCCCCCACCCCAACCCCCCTCTTCCCTCCCCCCCCGCCTCTTCCCCCCCTTCCGTCCGACTTTTAGCCCCACACACGGCTCTCCACCGACATTCTGGAAGGAATCTCGTTGAATTGCTTCCGAAGTCGCATTGACGCTACCTCCTGAACTGTAACTTAGCTCGTACCTTGCACGACGTCCAAGAGAGACATCACTGGACCACGGCGCCTTGCCAGTGCTGAGCCGCATCAAAACACGCACCTCCAGTACGTGCCAACAGTTACTAATCAATTAGCACCACCCCTGTCCGCACCTTGTACGGCGTCCCACAGAGACATGCGCACCACGGCGCCTTTCCTTGCAGAACGACCCACGTGTAGTACCCCTCGCGATGGCCGTCGGATGCTCATCGATGACCGAATCGACGGTTCAGGCAACCCAGCAGCCGAGGCGGGTTGGTTTGGCCGCGGATGCAGCAGCGATGCGGGGCAGCGGTGGAGCAGAGCCATGGCTTGTGAGAGTGGGAGGTGGGAGAGGCGCACGAAAGGAGGACTAGTAACAGAAAACGGTGGGACTCGGAGAGCGTTCGGCGCAGGGACGGCAGTGACAAAGCCTGTCGGAATGGCAGCGATAAGCGTGTGGCGATAAACCTTTAGCCGCGATAAGCCTGTAACCGCGATAAGCCTGTAGCCGCGATAAGCCTGTAGCCGCGATAAGCCTGTAGCCGCGGCGATAAGCCTGTACTACAGGAGTTCGCAACTAGTAGCAGCGATACTGGGTGGAAACCAGAAGCTGCTTGGAGACGAGGGAGGCTGCTTGAAAGCTAGAGGTACAGCATCTACGGAGTACAGTAATGCAGAAGAAATCTACCTCACTGCCCTCTCCGTGACGTGCCGCGGTGTTACAGCAGGCTGTGTGTAGGGAGACCCGCAAACCACGCACAAGCAGAAAACCCAAGGTTGTTCCCGCTGGAACGGGAGCAATTCCGGAGAGGCGGGAAAATAGATCCCTCGGTGACAGGGTCTGCTCGCAGCCAATCGGAGGCGTCGACACCAGGTCGAAGTTCCATGAAAATTGTACGTAATGTACATACAGGTTGTATGAACTAAGCACACTACATTTTTTATAACGACTAATAAGCTTCCTCTAAACAATGTCCTTAATAATGGTCAACTGTTGCTATACAACCCATCTGGGACAAGAAAAAAACACCACAATGCCCCCCAAAAAACAACACAGGAGCAGGCAAAATGCCAGGAAAGGCTAGATGTCAAGCATGCCAGCTGCCGCCATCTTACTTCCCACAGTCTGAATCAACTCCTTGCGAGGCCCCACCTGCATGCATCCACATGAAGACAGAGGTTACGGCCATTGAAAAGGCATGTATACGATGTGATATGTGTAGGACGTGTGAACGGCCAGTACAAACACAAACGCACATGGGAGATGGGCAAACACGCTACGCGACATGTGACGAAATGGAGCACTACGACACGACACTTCGAACAAATAGATAAGGGACCGAGATGCTGGAACACACATTTACCACAAGCACCGCTCTGCCATTTTGCAGTCAGGGAAGGCAGAGAGAGAGGCTGAACCCTCAGGACGTGTCGCGAGAGTTTGCTTTCCCACAAAATCCTACTCAATCGTTCTCGATTTTAAATTAACCACTCAGAATAACAAATCACCTTACTGAGCCGCACTCGGGGACTCTTATGACACACCCCTGAACCCTGAACCTTACCCTTCTTGTGAATGCCCATGAGAACCGAGAGCGTGACGCTGGCCCGGGCTGCCCCCTCTGCTGTGATCAGCTTCAACATGACCAAAACCTCGTCCCCTTTCCACTGGCTATCCCTCAAAACCGCACCTTATCCCTCAGAACCGCTCCATATCCCTCAGAACCGCACCTTATCGCCCATGAGCACCGACAGGGTGACGCTGGCCTGAGCCGCCTCCTCCACTGTGATCAGCTTCAGCCGTCGCTGGCTGGGGTCCAGCGTTGTTTCCCACAGCTGCACGGGCATCATCTCTCCTAGCCCTGCAAGGGAGGGTAGACGACAGAAAAAACGAGAAGAGGACCGGCGGGGAGAGGTGATTCTGGCCGAGGTCCATAGTTGTTGTCCCCCACACTTGCACGGGCATCATCTCTCCTAGCCCTGAGACAAAAGGAGAACGAGGAGATAGGAATGCCGAGGGAAGTTAATGAGCCTCAGCCATCTCTGGCTGGGTCCCACAGCTGTGCTGGTATCATCTCTTCTAGACTTGAAAGAGAGAGCAGACGACAGGAGAAACGAGTGGAGGACAGGAGGGGAGAGGTGATCAGCCACCCTAGACCTGAGGGGAACGAGAAAGCAAAACTGAAGGTACGATATTAGATGAAATGGGAGGAGAGGAGAGAGTAGAAGGTATGATATGAGATGATGTGGGAGACGAGAGGAGACTGGAAGGCACGAAATAAGGTAATATGGGCGGAGAGAGGAGCTTAGAAGAGGGTGATTTGACTTTTGAGTCGACTCAAAAGTCACCTTGTTACGTGAGGAGAGAGGAGAGGCTGCAGAAGGGATCACAAGCGGACGGAGGAAGGATCCTTCAACGAGGCCATATCATTGGAGCATTAACTGCAGTCGAGTTTTGAGACGTCTCAAAGCTCGATTATTATCACACAGTTTTGAGACGTCTCAAAACAGGCGGAGGAATGGACCCTTCAACGAGGCCCATGACATGGGAGCATGAAACGAAACGCAGTCGTGATGATGTGTCAACATGCCTTTGAAATGTTGACTGAGCCAACACTCCCTTGAAACGCTGACTGAGTCAACGCACCTTTGAAGGTTGACTGAGTCAACGCACCTCTGAAGGTTGACTGAGTCAACGCACCTTTGAAGGTTGACTGAGTCAACGCACCTTTGAAGGTTGACTGAGTCAACACACCTTTGAAGCGCTGGAGGGTTGGGGAAGCTGAGGCAGGCAGGGAGCGCAGGTGAGCCTGCAGCTCTGCCTCTGTGTAGCAGTAGACCGGCGCGTGGCGAGCCAGCTCCACCTGACCAAGGGGTTAAGTGGGGGCGGGGATGGGGTTGGGAATGGATGGGGGGGAGATTGATGGTGGTGGCGAAGGGGTTTGGTGGGGGTGTTGGAAAGCTGAGGCATGAGTGCAAGTAAGCCTAAAGCTCTGCTTCTGTGTAGCAAAGACAAGCGCCTGGCAAGACAGCTTAACCCGGGGGAGACAGTGGGGGAAGGAGGGGAGGGGAGCAAGGTGGGCAAGAGGAAGGCGAGGCGAGGCGAGGTGGGTAACACCAAATTTGTATACTAGTATACGGTTTTAGGGTTAGACACATTGTTGGGTTGGGTGTAGCTTTCCATCCCCAACCTATCCCAGCCTTATCCATTCCAAATCCCCACGATTTGGATGGATCTCCTTGGGATCTCCCTTCGATTCTCTCCTATCCCTTCCAACCCTCTCCAATGTTTTGTACTTAACCTTGTATGCTTTTTGTCGATTAATCAATAAAGTTCTCAGACTCTGACAGCAGGGGGGGAGGATGGAGTGCTGGAAGGGTGCGGGGAGGTGCAAGAGGTGCAGGAGTGCATGGTGCTCACAGAGACTCATTCCAAGCAAAAATAAGGAGAGAATTGCTAAGCGGAGCAGAAGAACGAGAGTGGAGAAAAAGGAGGAGGAGAAGAAGCACGCACCTTGTAGAGGGGAGGGACACCGACAAACACATGGCCATTCTCAAAGAGGGCTCTCTGCAATGGTATGTCAGTTTGGAAGGGCAGATAGTAGGGGAGAGAGCGACACACACACACATGCACACACACGCATGCACATGCACATGCACGAAGGCACACAAACACACAACCAAAGGATGGAAAAGACAGCGGGGAGAAGGGCGATCCAAAGATTAGCCAGGCAGTGATGAAATGGCAAACACAACAAAACATACAGTGAAAGAATGCACCTGGCTCAAGCAGAGAGGATCTGGTAGCAGACAAGCAAGGTGCAGAGGAGTCTGGATGTGTCCCCCAGGCTCCAGCCACAAAGGGGAAGATGACAGAGGATGCAAGAGCAAGAATGATCATGGTAAACGAAGTACTGTGTGGGAGAAAGAGAATACCCGGTAGCAGAACAAGGACCCTGGTAGCGGAAGAGGAGGGTGAGGAGCAGACGATGTGCGCCCCATCCACAGAGGGGAGCATAACCGAGGATGCATGGAGAAAATTCCCTGCCTGCCGGGGAAAGAAAATACCTGGTAGCGGAAGAGGAAGGTGAGGAGCAGAGTCCGGATGTGGCCCCCATCCACGTCAGCATCAGTGAGCAGAATGATGCGGTGGTAGCGCAGGGCTCGTTGGTCAAACTCCTCTCCCTGCCACGGGCGACGGCACATATAGAACACACAATTTCAAGACCACAACCCCCTGTTCTGGCCTATGGGTATCTCTTCCAAGTCTCCCACGGAATGTCCAGTAGCTCAGGTTGGCCCCAATGCAGCAACACCAGGCTCACTCTCTCACCCCCCTCACCCTCTCACACTCTCACTCTCTCACACACACCCTCTCACCCCCTGACCCTCGCACGCTCTTCCTGTCTCACCCTCTCGTCCTTTCTTGCGCTCACCCTTGCCTTATCCCGCCCCCTTTCTTACCCTTAAGCCCAATCGCAGCACTAAGAAGAGCCTCTACAACTCTTGTCAATCGCCACGTCTCTGTGCTCTAAGAAGCCCCAAGCTATGAAGCCCCAAGCTAAGAAGCCCCAAGCTAAGAAGCCCCAAGCTATGAAGCCCCAAGCTATGAAGCCCCAAGCAATGAAGCCCCAAGCTATGAAGCCCCAAGCTATGAAGCCCCAAGCTAAGAAGCCCCAAGCTAAGAAGCCCCAAGCTATGAAGCCCCAAGCTAAGAAGCCCCAAGCTATGAAGCCCCAAGCTAAGAAGCCCCAAGCTATGAAGCCCCAAGCTATGAAGCCCCAAGCTATGAAGCCCCAAGCTAAGAAGCCCCAAGCTAAGAAGCCCCAAGCTAAGAAGCCCCAAGCTAAGAAGCCCCAAGCTATGAAGCCCCAAGCTATGAAGCCCCAAGCCATGAAGCCCCAAGCTAAGAAGCCCCAAGCTAAGAAGCCCCAAGCTATGAACTCGCAAGCCCACTACTGCCCTCACTCCCCCTTACCCGGAGCCCCAGTCCCAGCCCCAGAATGAGGTTCTGCAGCTCCCGAGTCTTGTAGATGGCTGCCTCTGTGTGCTCCCAGGAGGCCCGAAACATGCAGTGCATTCCAAATCCCTCTGCAACTCTCACTGCTCTCTTTCCCCAGGCCCCTCCCTTACCCTCAAGCCCAGCCCCAGCCCTAGGATGAGGTTCTGCAACTCTTGATTCTTGTAGATGGCTGCATCGTCCTTCCTCTCCACGTTGAGGATCTTCCCTCGTAGGGGCAGCACCGCCTGGTTGGGGGACATGATAAAGGGGTGGGGCGCAAGCAAGGGCGGGGTGGGGGCATGAGCGATAGTGTGTGCGGGGCAAGGATCGCCGCATCGTCCTTCCTCTCCACACTGAGGATCTTCCCTCGCAGGGGCAGCACGACCTGGGGTAGCGACGACAAGAGGCAGAGACGATGCAAGGGCAAGAAGACGGGGTGGTACAAGGAGCCTATAAAACATCAACTCTTCACTCCACATCAAGAGCTTTCCTTGTAGGGGCAGCACGGCTCGGAGGATGGGAGGACGGAAAGCAAGAGCAGGGGTAGGATGAAAGAGACGATAGCAAGTGAGAGAGAGATAGAGCAAGAGAGGAACAGATGTGGCAAGGATGGAGCGTAGATAGAAGAGATGGGAGGGAGGGATGGGAAATGTGGGGAGGTGCAGGAAGGAGGCGCGACGGGACACTGACCTGGAAGCGTCTGTCTCGGCCCTGCTTGGTGCTGCCACCGGCTGAGTCGCCCTCCACTATGAACACCTCTGAGAGGGTGCATGGGGAGGTCATACGTTGTGCATGGGGAGGTCATACGTTGTACATGGGGAGATCATACGTTGTGCATGGGGAGATCATACGTTGTACATGGGGAGATCATACGTTGTGCATGGGGAGATCATACGTTGTGCATGGGGAGATCATACGTTGTGCATGGGGACATCATACGTTGTACATGGGGAGATCATACGTTGTGCATGGGGAGATCATACGTTGTGCATGGGGTGGGATGGGAGGATGTGGTGCAAGATAAGGGATAGCCATCACATGCCCATGAGCTGCCGAGCTGAGTCGCCCTCCACTATGAATACCTCTGACGAGGTTAAGGCAATGGGATGTGAGGGATGGAGAGATGGAGGGTTGGCAAGCACAGAAGGATAGGTAGGTGCTGCTACCAGCTGACTTTTGAGTCGACTCAAAAGTCAGATGGAGAGGTGGAGTGGAGGGTGGGCAAGCATAGGAGGACAGGTCGGTGCTGCTACCAGCTGAGTCACCCTCCACTATGAACACCTCTGGTGGGATGAGAATGGGCCGCACATGGGGATGTTACGCAAGACAATGCGGTAGGTTATACAGGATGCGAGTGATGGGGGGTTTCCCAGTTTTGGAAGACAAGTTGGTGCTACCTGACGTGGTGGCGCCTCACGACGTGGCTGTGATTGCCTGACATGGCAAGGGCTTCACACCAGCAATCTGCCAGTTCGTCTGGAAGCAGCATGACGAGCTGCTTCCAGGCCGAAAATTTCTGTGGGCACGAAACGAGGCGAGAATTCCATTGCAAGTCCTCCTTTTCCATGGGCGCAGCACCGCCCGACTCCGCACATACATGACCTGACTTGGCGGGGTCTTCGCACAAGCACTATGCCATTTTGCCCGGGAGCAGCACAGAGCAGCTGATTCACAGAAGTTAAACAAGGCGATGATTCTACTGAAACTATACCTGACTTGGCCGGGTCTTCACACGAGCAGTCTGCCAGTTTGCCTGGGAGCATGGCTGACTTTAGCACACTCTTCCGCCGAACCAGCTCCCGAGCCTTCTTCGCTGCTTCGGCAGCCTGTCAGGCACGGGACAAGGAAAGCAACACGTGTTGCACAGCCAAGAGGTTTGGGGGATGCCTTGAACAACGTTGTGTGAAAGTGCTTTGTCAGTTGTAAGCATGGAGTGCCTTGCTGAGTTTGCATTCACACACACTCTGCTGGGTTGGACTCCGGTACAGGATCGCTGCCAGATTTACAGGCGCCTTGAAGTATTGACATCCATCTACCACACCCACCTTGTAAGCATCTAGCGCCTTGCTCACCATGGCTTAACATGCTGCTGGGTTCTTGTTGAGGAGTTCCACTAAGGCACGAGGCGCCCACCAACACCTGCCTCTCCACACTCACGCCCACCTTGTACGCGTCTAGCGCCTTGCTCAATATGGCTTCACACGCTGCTGGGTTCTTGTCGAGGAATTCCGTCAAGGCCTCGCTCACCACCGCATCCACTATTCTCCGCACCCCGGGATTGCCCAACCGCGTCTGACACACAGACAGAGGAGAGAGAGAGTTAGGTGGGACGGAGTGAGCACAGTTTAACAACGCTGGGCCGAATGCAACCATCCACTATTCTCCTCACCCCAAGATTGCCCAACTGCGTCTGACAGAGAGGGAAGGTGTGGAGAAAGGGGGGGGGGGGGGGGTTGGGGAGTGAGGGATGGGAGAGGGAGGGGGCGAAGAGGTGAGAGGGACAAAAAGGAGCAGCAGACGCCACGCACTAACCAGTTGGTTCTTGAGTTAATGAAAATATTTCTCATGAGACTTCACTTCCAGCCTCCCAACTCACGTCTTCCATTCCAGCCGTAAATCTCAAATCTCCACACGAGAATCCTTAGGCCTGACCTCACGTTGGTCTGCCTTTCAAGTTCCAAGTCTGCTCACCTGTGCCTGTCACTATTCCTTCCCCCCCCCCCCCTCCCCCCTTCAGGTGCGCGTGTTCCATCCATCCCGCACCATTCCCATCTCCTTCCTTCTCCCTCTTCACCATTCCATCCACAACTACCTTCTCTCACCTTGGTCTGCCCTTCGAACTCCGGGTTGCCCACGTTCACTGCCATCTCACACGTGAGTGAGCCCCTCCCTTAGATGCTCCAAATATGTCGTACGATCCGATCCACCTCATCTCATCCCACCTATTCTTCTCTGCATGATCGCCATCTCCCACCTCACCTTCGTTTGCCCTTCAAACTCCGGGTTGCCCACTTTCACTGCCACCACACACGTGAGCCCCTCCCTCAGATGCTCCCCGGCCAGATTCTCCTCCTTCTCCTGCACGCAGCAGAGGCAGTCAGGGGAGAGAGGCGGTGGGGGGAGGGAGAGTCCGGGCAAAGAGTCAGATAGACACAGCGCAAGAGTGACAGTCAGAGTCACAGTCACCACACACGTGAGCCCCTCCATTAGATGCTCCCCGGCCAGATTCACAAGCCTTGAACACCTGTGCTATGACTCTCACCTTGAGCAGGCGCTGCTTCCTGGCAGCAGCATTGAGCGTCCGAGTGAAAGCAGCTTTGGTGCCATCGATGTGCGTGCCGCCGTCGGAGGTGCGGGATGCTGTTGGCATACCCCACCACATTGTCGCTGTACGCATCGCTCTCTGCACATGCTCTGGATTTATAGGATCCCCAGCAATCACGTGCGCCCATACCTGGCAGCACTGGCAGCACTTCAAGGCACCTCCAACCCAAATGCAGACCAACACTTGCCTTGAGCAGGCGTTGCTTCCGGGCAGCAGCATTGAGGGTCCGAGTAAAGGCAGCTTTGGTGCCGTCGATGTGCGTGCCGCCATCGGAGGTGCGGATGCTGTTGGCATACCCCACCACGTTGTCGCTGTACGCATCGCTGCACCACTGCCATGCGATCGCCACCCCGACTCCGTCCCGCTCCATCTCCACACTCTGAGGGTCGTGCATTGGAGCCTGCAGAGGTGAGGCAGTGCAAAGAAGGTGTGAAGGGGTACAAGGGAGTGAGGGGTGAGTGAGACACGGGGTGCGGATGCTGTTGGCATACCCCACCACATTGTCGCTGCACCACTGCCACACGATCGCCACACCCACCCCGTCGCACTCCACTTTCACACTCTGAGGATTGTGTTGTAAAATATATATCTATACAACATGCATGCCTAGATTACGAGGTGTAGTCATTATAAATATTGGGGGGTTGTTGGTTGGGTTGACCAACCCCACATTTGGGTTGGTCAAGATTGGATTTGGTCCTAGACATTTGGTTGGCACTATTCCAACCAAATGGTCCTTGGTCCTAGGAACCAACCAATCACCAAGCACCACACTTTGTGGTTGCTTGCCTTCCAAGCAATCTCTCTCATTGGTCCACATTGTGGCCAATCAGAGAGCACCACACTTTGTGGTTGCTTGCCCTACAAGCAACCTCTCCCATTGGTCCACTTTATGGCCAATAGGAGAGCTTCCCTTCCAACTCTTCCTTGCTCCTTGTTTTGTACAAAAGAGCCTCTTGGCTCCCTACTCAATCAATCTTTTCTCTTCCAAGCTATTTCCTTCAGATTGTGCATTGGTGCCTGCATTCATGGGGCAGCATGAATGGTGCATGGGAGAGGTGTGAGAGTGAGTCAGAGGAAAGAACGTCTCGCCGTGCGATCGCCACGCCCACTCCATCCCTCTCCATCTCCACACACACTGGGTCACGCATTGGTGCCTGCAGTTTTGTGACCGACTGAACAGGGCGTGAAGGGTGGTACAAAGGTGTTAGGGGTGATTCAAAGCAGAGGTGAAGGTAAAACTGATGTGAGAGAATCCACTGCCATGCCATGCGATCGCCACCTGGACTATATCCTGGTCCATCTTCCACACACCGGGTCGTGCATTGGCGACATTGCACTGCACCCCCCCACTGCTCTCTCTCCCTCTAGTGATTGAGCAGCCCTCCTGCAAAGTGGAACCAACAGGCCAATGCAGGAAGTCCAGCACCCACTGCACTGCACTTACCTGCTCTGAGTTGAGGCAATGCACGAAAGGAAATCCAGCAGGCCTCTTTGGCGTGGGGGAACTCCGCAGATTGACCAGCCTGCAGCAGTTCACCCCCACTTGGTTTGCCCTTGGTTTGCTCTTCCCCCTCTCACCTTGTCGCTCTTCAGCCACCGCACAAACTCCAGCAGCCCCCCCACAAAGTGAAACTCTGCAGTGCGTCATGCCTGCAGAGCGTCATGCCTGCAGAGCGTCATGCCTGCAGTGCGTCATGCCTGCAGAGCGTCATGCCTGCAGTGCGTCATGCCTGCAGTGCGTCATGCCTGCAGTGCGTCATGCCTGCAGTGCGTCATGCCTGCAGAGCGTCATGCCTGCAGAGCGTCATGCCTGCAGAGCGTCATGCCTGCAGTGCCTTCAACCCACTTGGATGGTTGGCTGACTGACCTCCACTACTCTCTCTCACCTTCTCGCTATTCAGCCACCGCACAAACTCCAGCAGCCCCCCCGCAAAATGAAACTCCACTGAGCGGCCCGCCTCCTCTGTGAGGTGAATCACCACCTGTGGCAGGACAGAGGGGGAGGGGAGAGGGGAGGTAAGAAGGGGAACTTCACGCATGAGGGATAAGAATAAGCAGGCCCCCTGCAAAGAGGAACTCCACCGAACGCCCTGCCTCCTCCTTGAGGCGAATCACCACCTCCTGCAGTGGGGAGGGGATGACGGTTGTGGTGATCATTACCTACGGGGCAAAGGGCTTGCCTATAGGCTATCGTATCGATTATCGGGTGGGGGAAGGAGGATGCGTTGCGCAAAAGGCATAGCAGCGTGCCTACCCAGCATGGGACACATGGCGTTGCCTGGGGTTAGTGGGTTGAGGGCTCGCCTGAGGGTTGAGGAAGGCGAGCTCTCTGAGGCGCGCAGCAATGGTGGTGAAGTCAAAGGAGGTGGTTGTGGTGAATACTGCGGTGAGAGGGAGTAGAGAGCGGTGGAAGGGGATGAGACGGGGGTGAAAGGGACTGAAGTGGGACAGGCAGCGTGGCGGTGAGGTCAAAAGAAGTGGTGGTGGTGCATCTAGTGTGGTAAGAGGAAGTAGTGAGCAGTCAAGGGGATAAGAGTGGGGTGAGTGAGAGGGACTAAACTGACATGAGCAGCAAATTGCACACTGCGGCAAATAGGAGAGTGTAACAACATTACATTACACGAAAGGTCTTGAAAATGGAATTTGATCATCTCAACATGACTTACAAACTTACTCAGCAAAAACAGAAATCACTTAGCTAAAGAAGTCACCAGTTGCAGGTACCTGTAGGGTCTGGCAGGAAGTGTATTTGTGTGCCTGTGCGCTGTGCTTCCCCCTCGTCTACCCCCGCTCCCGCCACTTCCTCCACCCTCATCCCCCCCACGGATATTCCCCTCTCAAACCGCTGCGAGTATTGCCTGCCGTCCCGCCACACATGTGCCTCAAGCCACTGGAAGGGGGGGGAGGAAGGGGGAATGGGGAGGAGCGGGGGAAAGGGGGAGAAGAAAGAGAGGTGGGTGGGGCAACGAGCAGTGCCTGCTGTCAACAGGCACGCCAACGTGATGCAGCTCACACAACAAGGGGTAACCGCTGGAGTCATGGTAACCGTTGAGTGACTTACATGCAATAGCGCCAACACCATGCAGCGCACCCAACACAGGGTAACCCTTGAGTAACTTCAATTAGATAGCAAATAAGAATAAAGGCGCAGCAGCGTGCAGCCCACCAAAGACTCGGTATCCATTGAAAGACTTACCTGAGATAGCGCATTCACAACAGAGACGCCAACACCGTGCAGCCCACCAGATACGCGGTAACCACTGGAGTCACCCCCGAACTTGCCACCCGCATGCAGCACCTGGGAGGGGGAAGAAAGGGGGGAGTGGGGGGGGGGGAAAGAGAAGGGGGGGGGGGGGGGGGGGGGTTTAGAAACAGGGGTGTTGAGGCGCTGGAGTCACCCTTGAACTTGCCGCCAGCATGCCGCACCAGGAAGGGGTTAACGAGCCACAGAAGAGGTATGCGGCGCCTGGGAAGGAAGGGAGGGAGGGAGGGAGTGAGGGAGGAGGGAGGGAGGGGGGGAGGGACGGCATGCAGGGATAGAGGCAGGAGAAGAAAGCACGAAGTGATAAAGTCAGGCGCTGAGTGACACACCGCACCTGCCAGCCATGGCACCTGCATGCAGCACTGGAAGGAGGAGAGCGTGGCAGAGGAGACGACATCTGAGCCGCGGATGTGCAGGCTTGGTTGTTGTATTGAGAAGGTAAAGAAAGGCTTGGGTGGGTGGGTGCATGCAGGGAGAGTGTGCAGCATCTAGACGAGGCAGCGCGTGAGGCATGTACACGTGAAACACATCGGGTGGGGCAGATCATGGATCATGGATCACGGATCACGGATCACGGATCAGGGATCACGGATCAGGGATCAGGGATCAGGGATCAGGGATCAGGGATCACGGATCAGGGATCAGGGATCACGGATCACGGATCACGGATCACGGATCAGGGATCAGGGATCATGGATCATGGATCAGGGATCATGGATCATGGATCATGGATCATGGATCATGGATCATGGATCATGGATCATGGATCATGGATCATGGATCATGGATCATGGATCATGGATCATGGATCATGGATCATGGATCATGGATCATGGATCATGGATCATGGATCATGGATCATGGATCACGGATCGGGATCAGGGATCATGGATTATGGATCATGGATCATGGATCATGGATCATGGATCATGGATCACGGATCACGGATCGTGGTTGGCGGAATAACTCACTGTGAGCACAGTCTCGAGTGCTGACTTGCCGGTCGAGGGATGGATGTCCGTCGGAATCTGCAGTGGGGAGGACGACCAAGAAGAACATGCACACGCACACGCACACGCACATGCACATGCACATGCACACGCAGGAAGAATATAGACACGCACACATGAGAAGAGCCTGGCATGGCCACTGCAGGATGAAACAATCCGGGCTGTTGAGTAAAAACCCCTGCCCTTTGAGGTAACAACAACAAGCCCAGCAGAACGACAAATCTGGTGGCATGGCCTGAGGCAACAACAACCCCTCAACCCAAATAAAGCCTCTACCCCAAACCCGCACCACAAGCCCTTGGTTGGTGCGTATCAGATGGCCCTTGGTTGGTGCGTATCAGATGGCCCTTGGTTGGTGCGTATCAGATGGCCCTTGGTTGGTGCGTATCAGATGGCCCTTGGTTGGTGCGTATCAGATGGCCCTTGGTTGGTGCGTATCAGATGGCCCTTGGTTGGTGCGTATCAGATGGCCCTTGGTTGGTGCGTATCAGATGGCCCTTGGTTGGTGCGTATCAGATGGCCCTTGGTTGGTGCGTATCAGATGGCCCTTGGTTGGTGCGTATCAGATGGCCCTTGGTTGGTGCGTATCAGATGTTGTCTGCAACGCACAGGAGCCATTTGCGCCCAGCAGCACATGCACTCTGCTGGCATGCACCAACCCCGTAGCGCAATGAACCTTTATTCTAAACCCCCAACCCCCTACACCCTGATGCATGCCAACTGATCCCTCTTCCGTTGTCTGCGATGCAACGGAGCCACCAGCTCCCAGCGGAAGCGCTTCCACTGTAACGGCATGGTCTGATGTAACAAACCCATCGCCCATAGAACTTGCATCTTAAACCCTGGAACTTCAATCAAACCCTGACTCACCCATCGCCTGGTGTCTGTGACGGACACAGAGCATCCGCTCCCAGCAGCATGCGCAATCTGCTGGCATAGCCTGATGTACAACGCCCCCTTGGTCCTACTAAACCCCAAACACTAAACCCTGATGCAGAATCACTGACCCCGCTTCCCCTGTCTGTGTGGCACACGGAGCCATCAGCTCCCAGCAGCACCCCCGCTGTAGTGGCACGGTCTGGTTTAACAACCACCCCTCAGCCCAACTAAACCCTGTACTCCAAAACCCAAACCTTAAACCCTGATGCATGTCTATTGACCCCTCTCGGTTGTCTGTGGCACACAGGGAACCGTCAGCCCAGCAGTTCCAGCAAGGTCGCAATACCTCATGGAGTAGCCCGTTAACCCAGTAAGCCCTACAACCCTTCTCTGAAACCCTGAATTGTAAACCTTTTGCATGTAATCTCACCCCTCGCCCATTGTCTGTGACGCACACGGAGCCATCAGCTCCCAACAGCACCTCCACGGTGGTGGCATGGCCTGCCTGTGCCTCGTCAATCGCATTGTCCACCACCTCATACACCTGCCGTCATGGGGGAGAGCGATGGAGAAAAGGTGTGGGGTGAGCCACAGCAGCAGCAGCAGCACCACGGTGGTTGCATGGCCTGCTTGCACGGCGTTTGTAGCATTATCCACCAGACATAGACCTGTCTATGCACTTCGGCATCCGCACGGCATAGACCTGTCTATGCACTTCGGCATCCGCACGGCATAGACCTGTCTATGCACTTCGGCATCCGCACGGCATAGACCTGTCTATGCACTTCGGCATCCGCACGGCATAGACCTGTCTATGCACTTCGGCATCCGCACGGCATAGACCTGTCTATGCACTTCGGCATCCGCACGGCATAGACCTGTCTATGCACTTCGGCATCCGCACGGCATAGACCTGTCTATGCACTTCGGCATCCGCACGGCATAGACCTGTCTATGCACTTCGGCATCCGCACGGCATAGACCTGTCTATGCACTTCGGCATCCGCACGGCATAGACCTGTCTATGCACTTCGGCATCCGCACGGCATAGACCTGTCTATGCACTTCGGCATCCGCACGGCATAGACCTGTCTATGCACTTCGGCATCCGCACGGCATAGACCTGTCTATGCACTTCGGCATCCGCACGGCATAGACCTGTCTATGCACTTCGGCATCCGCACGGCATAGACCTGTCTATGCACTTCGGCATCCGCACGGCATAGACCTGTCTATGCACTTCGGCATCCGCACGGCATAGACCTGTCTATGCACTTCGGCATCCGCACGGCATAGACCTGTCTATGCACTTCGGCATCCGCACGGCATAGACCTGTCTATGCACTTCGGCATCCGCACGGCATAGACCTGTCTATGCACTTCGGCATCCGCACGGCATAGACCTGTCTATGCACTTCGGCATCCGCACGGCATAGACCTGTCTATGCACTTCGGCATCCGCACGGCATAGACCTGTCTATGCACTTCGGCATCCGCACGGCATAGACCTGTCTATGCACTTCGGCATCCGCACGGCATAGACCTGTCTATGCACTTCGGCATCCGCACGGCATAGACCTGTCTATGCACTTCGGCATCCGCACGGCATAGACCTGTCTATGCACTTCGGCATCCGCACGGCATAGACCTGTCTATGCACTTCGGCATCCGCACGGCATAGACCTGTCTATGCACTTCGGCATCCGCACGGCATAGACCTGTCTATGCACTTCGGCATCCGCACGGCATAGACCTGTCTATGCACTTCGGCATCCGCACGGCATAGACCTGTCTATGCACTTCGGCATCCGCACGGCATAGACCTGTCTATGCACTTCGGCATCCGCACGGCATAGACCTGTCTATGCACTTCGGCATCCGCACGGCATAGACCTGTCTATGCACTTCGGCATCCGCACGGCATAGACCTGTCTATGCACTTCGGCATCCGCACGGCATAGACCTGTCTATGCACTTCGGCATCCGCACGGCATAGACCTGTCTATGCACTTCGGCATCCGCACGGCATAGACCTGTCTATGCACTTCGGCATCCGCACGGCATAGACCTGTCTATGCACTTCGGCATCCGCACGGCATAGACCTGTCTATGCACTTCGGCATCCGCACGGCATAGACCTGTCTATGCACTTCGGCATCCGCACGGCATAGACCTGTCTATGCACTTCGGCATCCGCACGGCATAGACCTGTCTATGCACTTCGGCATCCGCACGGCATAGACCTGTCTATGCACTTCGGCATCCGCACGGCATAGACCTGTCTATGCACTTCGGCATCCGCACGGCATAGACCTGTCTATGCACTTCGGCATCCGCACGGCATAGACCTGTCTATGCACTTCGGCATCCGCACGGCATAGACCTGTCTATGCACTTCGGCATCCGCACGGCATAGACCTGTCTATGCACTTCGGCATCCGCACGGCATAGACCTGTCTATGCACTTCGGCATCCGCACGGCATAGACCTGTCTATGCACTTCGGCATCCGCACGGCATAGACCTGTCTATGCACTTCGGCATCCGCACGGCATAGACCTGTCTATGCACTTCGGCATCCGCACGGCATAGACCTGTCTATGCACTTCGGCATCCGCACGGCATAGACCTGTAAGGGAGGGACGGAGAGATGCGTGTGTGTGTGCTTCGGGGAGGGGGGCGGCGAGGCGTGGGGAGGAGGGAGGAGTAAATGCAAGGGGCTGAAAGGCAATGGTATTGGTATTAGGCAACAGGTTTAGAAACGCGAGCAGGGCGGAAAACGGCAGGGGGGCAGGTAAGGCAGAGAGCAGCAGGTTCACCAGGCGGTGCAGAGTGGTGCATTGGGGTTCACTCACCAGGTGGTGCAGCCCCCGGGGTCCAGTGCTGCCGATGTACATGCCTGGCCGCCTGCGCACCGGCTCTAGCCCTTCCAGCACCTGATGGGAGCATGGGTGGAATGAAACTCCATAAGAGACGTTCAATAAGGGTAGATCAAGGGGGCCCAGTGCTGCCGATCTACATGCTTGGTCGCCTGCGCAGCGCACCGGTTCTAACCCTTCCAGCACCTGATGGGGGTGTATGGGAGCAGATAGCACATGGGGTTACATGCCATGTCATATCATGCGAGCAGGGGTGCAGCGAACGGGTCCAGTGCTGCCGATGTACATGCGTGGTCGTGGCCGCCTGTGCACCGGCTCTAGCCCTTCCAGCATCTGATGGGGGAGCATGGGTGCATGCATTAAGTTATTGTGAGATGTGCATGGGGTAGAGCAAGAAGGGAAAGCACGCTCTGGTGGTTCTGGTCTGGTCTAGTCCACATATGCAGTTTGCCCCATGCGACCAAACTGCACCCTTGCTATGCTACTACCAACCGCCACTATCCCTTATTCCATCCCCTATAAGGTATTCCGACCTCAGTACCACCTCCTTCCCCATTCCTCACACGGCCATTTCTCTCTCCTCATCTCATTCCCCATCCCAACCCCTACCCATCCCGCATCTCAGTCCCTCCCTACCCGATAGCCCCATCGCCTATCTCCCTGTCCGCTCGGCCAACCAACCCTTCCCCTTGCAACCCCCTGACCTAGATGCGATCAGCCGCGTAGCTCGACCGGCTCTTCTTTCCCCCTCTCCCCTTCCTCTTTCCCCCTCTCCCCTTCCTCTTTCCCCCTCTCCCCTTCCTCTTTCCCCCTCTCCCCTTCCTCTTTCCCCCTCTCCCCTTCCTCTTTCCCCCTCTCCCCTTCCTCTTTCCCCCTCTCCCCTTCCTCTTTCCCCCTCTCCCCTTCCTCTTTCCCCCTCTCCCCTTCCTCTTCCCCCCTCTCCCCTTCCTCGCCCCTCGATCTGAGGTGCCAGGAACACTCCCTCCCTGTTGCAACCCCCTTACCTGAATGTGTTCGGCTCCGTAGCTCGACCGGCTCGTCTTTTCCCCCTCTCCCCTTCCTCGCCCCTCGATCTGAGGCGCCTGTAACACTCCGTTCCTGTTGCGACCCCCTTACCTGAATGTGCTCGGCGCCATAGCTCGACCTGCTCTTCTTCCCCCCTCTCCCCTTGCCTCGCCCCTCGCTTCCCCCCTCCGCCCCACCAGGCGCGGCGCTACTCCGCACGACTCCCGCACCATCCTTCCCCTCCGCGGATCGCAGCTGCGCGTCCCCTGCGCCTTTGCCTGCGCAATTGGCCACTCCCCTTATTGCGCCGCTACCCGCGCCCCTGTCTCCGCTGCGGGCGGCGGATAGCAGCTGTGTGTTGCCCCCGCCAATCCCCGCGAGCGCCCTAGCCCCGCACAAAGAGGCGCGGAAACTGCGCGCGGAGCTGGGAGTGTGAATGTGGCGCGGGGGGGCTGCAGCTGCACTAACCAGGGCCACGCGGGATGCGGGCGGAGGAATTCGGCGCGGGGAGGGGAGAAGAAAGCCGTCACGCGCGGAGGAGAAGAGGCGCGGGGAGGCGGAGAGACGTGCGGCGGCAGCGCGGATGGCGGAGGGGCGGGGGAAGGCGGAGCCGAGCACGGCCCTGCGGCATAGGGCCATGCCCATGGGCGGTTAACGAGGGGAAACTACCGTAAGTGGACTCCGTAGAGCCAGAGACGAGACAGGGGAGAGAGGATGATCGGTAACGGCCGAATTGGGAAGGTTTGAGGGATCGGGCTACGGCGGCTACTAAGGACGTGCACTGGCGAGTCCGAGAAGATGCACGGTGCCTGGCTGGCTGTGAAGACGAACACTCGATGCATGAGATTTGGGTTTCGGAAAAGCGGCACTTTTTTCTAAGGATAGCACCGAAAAGTGCTAGCGAAGAGTGCCACACCGAGGATGCATGGTCCAATTTGAGTGGTGCTACATCGTTTCATTCGTTTCAGTACCGCTACGTGTTAGCGCGGCCGCTAATACCGAGGGTCTATATATTCCCCCCTAGAACTGTAGGTGGATCAACAAGGGAAGATGCCCGTGAATAAAGGAGCATAGGCGGCAAAGGTATTTAAAGAACTTAAAACGAAGGTTTTAAATTAAAGTAATAGAATTAATGTATTGGGGGAAAATCATGATGGAGGGTTACAGAAATGCAAAATATCAAGAACATCATTTGGATGGCCAAATAGAGCCAAAGTATGGGTGTAACCAACCTAATGTACAACCGTCGCAGCGCAAAGCGAAGCGAGTCAACCGAGCAGGTCGTTGATCATCCCTTCCAGCTGTACTTGGGAAGCTCGCCCTCTTGGCTTGGGTCGGTTTGGGATTCCAATCACCCCCCCGCTGATGTCCACAAGTGCTGCTGCCAGCACTAACTTCGGGATTGCACTAGCTTGTGAAACCGTTTCGGTCGTCCAGCCTTACCTCCTCCGCGCTCCGCCTTCCCCGCCGGACCGTTCGTGGGGCCTGGGACGTGCCGATTAGGTTCCTCGTTCTCATTAAGACCGTACAGTTCAAGCAATACTAGCTTTCCTGAGATTTCCCTCGCGATCGTACGGTGGTGGATAGAAGAAGAAGTAGCATCGGCCTGATATCCAGATGGCCCCATCAGGGGAAACTTCTCAATTTCTGCAATCGAGTTCCAAAAAGGTAGCCTCAATCGCCGCGAATCCCGCGTGAATTCCTTCCCAATCTCCCCTCTTTGGTCCACATTAGGAGAAAGAAATTATTTAACTTTTTAGTAAGGCCCACAGCTAACGCTTTTTCACCGGCAGCAGCTGTCCGTAAGTACGATTGATTGCTTTTGAGGCGGCTCAAAAGTAGTATCAGCTGTCCGTAACTACTACTAACCCCCCATGCCTCTCACGGGCCAGAGTGCCGACGCGCGCCGCCATCAGCAGCTGCAGCAGCAGCGGCAGCGGCATCGGCCATGGCTCTCCGTCTTTAATCGCCAATGGCTGTCCGTCTTCAGTCCAGACGTCGCCTGGTCGCGGCTTATGAAGGCCGTCGGCCGCCGGTTAGAGTCCCCCAACCGGCCGGCGGTTAAGTCCGCCGGCTACTATGACGGCTGGTACGGCTCGCTAGCCGGCGTGGCGTTAATCTCCACGCTCATCTTCCTCCTCGTGCTCCTGCTACGCCATGGCTTCCCCTCGTCCGCGTCGCGCGCCGCGAATTTAATCGACCCTGACACCCTCGCGGCGACTATAGAGCGCCACGGACCGTACATCGACTCGGAGGATATCAGCGCGGCTCAATCGTGGCCGTCCGCGCTCGACGATCTGCCGCCCGTGCATGAGGAGGGGAGTGCGGACGGGGAGGGGGATGCGAGTGGTGATGCGCGGGTCGAGCGTGGGCTGCACGCGGAAGAGCAGCGCGCAGGGGAGCGGAAGGGAGGAGGGGAAGCGGAGAGGGGTGACGTGGCCGCGTGTGAGACTGGAGGCGCGGGGTGCCCTTACTCCGATATTGTCGTGCGCGCCAAGGTAGGGACGGGCTTTGAGTCGCGTGGACAGCACTGGTAGGGACAACTGGGGGACGGTTGTGCACAGACGAACGCCATCCGCCTTCATCTCCACACCCCACTCATGCAGCCGCCTTTCATGAAACCCCATTCTTGCACCCCCATTTACCAACGGTCACGCATTCATGCACCCCCATTCGTGCACCCCCATTCGTGCACCCCCATTCGTGCACCCCCATTCGTGCAACCCCATTCATGCACCCCCATTCGTGCAACCCCATTCATGCACCCCCATTCATGCACCCCATTCATGCACCCCCATTCATGCACCCCATTCATGCACCCCCATTCGTGCAACCCCATTCATGCACCCCCATTCATGCACCCCCATTCATGCACCCCCATTCATGCACCCCCATTCATGCAACCCCATTCATGCACCCCCATTCATGCACCCCCATTCATGCATCCCCATTCATGCAACCCCATTCAAGCACCCCCATTCATGCACCCCCATTCATGCATCCCCATTCATGCAACCCCATTCAAGCACCCCCATTCATGCACCCCCATTCATGCACCCCCATTCATGCATCCCCATTCATGCAACCCCATTCAAGCACCCCCATTCATGCACCCCCATTCATGCATCCCCATTCATGCAACCCCATTCAAGCACCCCCATTCATGCACCCCCATTCATGCACCCCCATTCATGCAACCCCATTCATGCACCCCCATTCATGCACCCTCATTCATGCACCCCCATTCATGCACCCCCATTCATGCACCCCCATTCATGCACCCCATTCGTGCACCCCCATTCGTGCAACCCCATTCATGCACCCCCATTCATGCACCCCCATTCATGCAACCCCATTCAAGCACCCCCATTCATGCACCCCCATTCATGCACCCCCATTCGTGCACCCCCATTCATGCACCCCCATTCATGCACCCCCATTCATGCACCCCCATTCATGCACCCCCATTCATGCAACCCCATTCAAGCACCCCCATTCATGCACCCCCATTCATGCACCCCCATTCATGCCACCCCATTCATGCACCCCCATTCATGCACCCCCATTCATGCACCCCATTCAAGCACCCCCATTCATGCACCCCCATTCATGCACCCTCATTCGTGCACCCCATTCAAGCACCCCCATTCATGCACCCCCATTCATGCACCCCCATTCATGCACCCTCATTCGTGCACCCCATTCAAGCACCCCCATTCATGCACCCCCATTCATGCACCCCATTCATGCACCCCCATTCGTGCACCCCCATTCATGCACCCCCATTCATGCACCCCCATTCATGCACCCCCATTCATGCACCCCATTCGTGCACCCCCATTCATGCACCCCCATTCGTGCAACCCCATTCATGCACCCCCATTCATGCACCCCCATTCATGCACCCCCATTCATGCACCCCATTCATGCACCCCCATTCGTGCAACCCCATTCATGCACCCCCATTCATGCACCCCCATTCATGCACCCCCATTCATGCACCCCCATTCATGCACCCCCATTCATGCACCCCCATTCATGCACCCCCATTCATGCACCCCCATTCATGCACCCCCATTCATGCACCCCCATTCATGCACCCCCATTCGTGCACCCCCATTCATGCACCCCCATTCATGCACCCCCATTCATGCACCCCCATTCATGCACCCCCATTCATGCACCCCCATTCATGCACCCCCATTCATGCACCCCCATTCATGCACCCCCATTCATGCAACCCCATTCATGCACCCCCATTCATGCACCCCCATTCATGCACCCCCATTCATGCACCCCCATTCATGCACCCCCATTCATGCACCCCCATTCATGCACCCCCATTCATGCACCCCCATTCGTGCACCCCCATTCATGCACCCCCATTCGTGCACCCCCATTCATGCACCCCCATTCATGCACCCCCATTCATGCACCCCCATTCATGCACCCCCATTCATGCACCCCCATTCATGCAACCCCATTCAAGCACCCCCATTCATGCACCCCCATTCATGCACCCCCATTCATGCAACCCCATTCAAGCACCCCCATTCATGCACCCCCATTCATGCACCCCCATTCATGCACCCCCATTCATGCAACCCCATTCAAGCACCCCCATTCATGCACCCCCATTCATGCACCCCCATTCATGCAACCCCATTCAAGCACCCCCATTCATGCACCCCCATTCATGCACCCCCATTCATGCAACCCCATTCAAGCACCCCCATTCATGCACCCCCATTCATGCACCCCCATTCATGCACCCCCATTCATGCACCCCATTCGTGCACCCCCATTCATGCACCCCCATTCGTGCAACCCCATTCATGCACCCCCATTCATGCACCCCATTCGTGCACCCCCATTCATGCACCCCCATTCGTGCAACCCCATTCATGCACCCCCATTCATGCACCCCCATTCATGCACCCCATTCAAGCACCCCCATTCATGCACCCCCATTCATGCACCCCCATTCATGCAACCCCATTCAAGCACCCCCATTCATGCACCCCCATTCATGCAACCCCATTCGTGCACCCCCATTCATGCACCCCCATTCATGCAACCCCATTCAAGCACCCCCATTCATGCACCCCCATTCATGCACCCCCATTCATGCAACCCCATTCATGCACCCCCATTCATGCACCCCCATTCATGCACCCCATTCAAGCACCCCCATTCATGCACCCCCATTCATGCACCCTCATTCGTGCACCCCATTCAAGCACCCCCATTCATGCACCCCCATTCATGCACCCCCATTCATGCACCCTCATTCGTGCACCCCATTCAAGCACCCCCATTCATGCACCCCCATTCATGCACCCCCATTCATGCACCCCATTCGTGCACCCCCATTCATGCACCCCCATTCGTGCACCCCCATTCATGCACCCCCATTCATGCAACCCCATTCAAGCACCCCCATTCATGCACCCCCATTCATGCACCCCCATTCATGCACCCCCATTCATGCAACCCCATTCATGCACCCCCATTCATGCACCCCCATTCATGCACCCCATTCAAGCACCCCCATTCATGCACCCCCATTCATGCACCCCATTCGTGCACCCCCATTCATGCACCCCATTCATGCACCCCCATTCATGCACCCTCATTCGTGCACCCCATTCAAGCACCCCCATTCATGCACCCCCATTCATGCACCCCCATTCATGCACCCCCATTCATGCACCCCATTCATGCACCCCCATTCGTGCACCCCCATTCATGCACCCCATTCAAGCACCCCCATTCAAGCACCCCCATTCATGCACCCCCATTCATGCACCCTCATTCGTGCACCCCATTCATGCACCCCATTCATGCACCCCCATTCATGCACCCCCATTCATGCACCCCCATTCATGCACCCCATTCAAGCACCCCCATTCATGCACCCCCATTCATGCACCCTCATTCATGCACCCCCATTCAAGCACCCCCATTCATGCACCCCCATTCATGCACCCCCATTCATGCAACCCCATTCAAGCACCCCCATTCATGCACCCCCATTCATGCAACCCCATTCAAGCACCCCCATTCATGCACCCCCATTCATGCACCCCCATTCATGCAACCCCATTCAAGCACCCCCATTCATGCACCCCATTCAAGCACCCCCATTCATGCACCCCCATTCATGCACCCCCATTCATGCACCCCATTCAAGCACCCCCATTCATGCACCCCATTCAAGCACCCCCATTCATGCACCCCCATTCATGCACCCTCATTCGTGCACCCCATTCAAGCACCCCCATTCATGCACCCCCATTCATGCAACCCCATTCAAGCACCCCCATTCGTGCACCCCCATTCATGCAACCCCATTCAAGCACCCCCATTCATGCACCCCCATTCATGCACCCCCATTCATGCACCCTCATTCGTGCACCCCATTCAAGCACCCCCATTCATGCACCCCCATTCATGCACCCCCATTCATGCAACCCCATTCAAGCACCCCCATTCATGCACCCCCATTCATGCACCCCCATTCATGCACCCCCATTCATGCACCCCCATTCATGCACCCCCATTCATGCACCCCCATTCATGCACCCCCATTCATGCACCCCCATTCAAGCACCCCCATTCATGCACCCCATTCAAGCACCCCCATTCATGCACCCCCATTCATGCACCCCCATTCATGCAACCCCATTCAAGCACCCCCATTCATGCACCCCATTCAAGCACCCCCATTCATGCACCCCCATTCATGCACCCCCATTCATGCACCCCATTCAAGCACCCCCATTCATGCACCCCATTCAAGCACCCCCATTCATGCACCCCCATTCATGCACCCTCATTCGTGCACCCCATTCAAGCACCCCCATTCATGCACCCCCATTCATGCACCCCCATTCATGCAACCCCATTCAAGCACCCCCATTCATGCACCCCCATTCATGCACCCCCATTCATGCACCCTCATTCGTGCACCCCATTCAAGCACCCCCATTCATGCACCCCCATTCATGCACCCCCATTCATGCACCCCCATTCATGCACCCCCATTCATGCACCCCCATTCATGCACCCCCATTCATGCACCCCCATTCATGCACCCCCATTCATGCACCCCATTCAAGCACCCCCATTCATGCACCCCATTCAAGCACCCCCATTCATGCACCCCCATTCATGCAACCCCATTCAAGCACCCCCATTCAAGCACCCCCATTCATGCACCCCCATTCATGCAACCCCATTCAAGCACCCCCATTCATGCACCCCATTCAAGCACCCCCATTCATGCACCCCCATTCATGCACCCCCATTCATGCACCCCATTCAAGCACCCCCATTCATGCACCCCATTCAAGCACCCCCATTCATGCACCCCCATTCATGCACCCTCATTCATGCACCCCCATTCATGCACCCCCATTCAAGCACCCCCATTCATGCACCCCCATTCATGCACCCCCATTCAAGCACCCCCATTCATGCACCCCATTCAAGCACC